CCGAGTAGATGGCGCCTGAGTGATACCAATTATCCAAATATTGTCCGGTGTAAGTATTTCAGGGTATTCCTTGGTTAGCTATTTGAGTAAACAAACACTAATACAGTAAATAATCTGCTTGATATAGATACGCACGTTAATAATTTTATTTGCATTTTACACGTGAAATAATTTACCTGATGAAAATCAAATAACTGATCATCCCCTTCGTCAACTATCTTTTTGAGTGTCACACTTGTCAATTCATTTGTCGTCCATTCTGCTATATGTGTGCATCCATGGCGTAACGATGTCATCTCTTGTATGTTTATCAATAGTGAGTATTCAACCCATTGTATATACGCATCATCTTTGTTATTCATATTACTCCACGACTTCATAATAAATGAATCCAAAGACTTGTTGCCCATAGTCCAATCAAGAGGTCGTGGCGATTTACATTTATAACAGAATGCATTTATCTTAGGTTCTAATCGACACATACACGCCAGACATAATCCACCGTCAACTTTTATGAGACAATACTTTGTATTGTACGTAAATCCGATGGTAACCCAAGCATCCGTGGTAAGAATATCTGGATGTTCATCACATAACTAATGGAAATGATATATAATAATAAGCCAACAATCATTTAAATTATTCAATAGACATGACGCATAAGTAAATAGCTTACCTCGGCATAATATGAATCATGTGTCTCGTCTGTTATCTCAAGTGGAATCAATTTAACAAATGCACGAGTAGGTAGTCCATCCAAGTATCCATATCCATCTCCCTCGTCACCAACGCAATCAAATGGAATCCATTCCAAATAGGCATGATTTGCTGAGTTTGTCTGTAATTGAGATTTCTTAATAAACTCATCGAGTTGCTTATTGTTGCTAGTCCATCTATCGGATAATTCTTTATATCCACATGTGCACCACACAGGACTACATCGGAGTATTCCGCATGCAGTGCAGAATCCATAGAGAGAATAATAATGGTAAAAGCGTCTATAGGCGACCATGTAATAACTACCGTCATACTCGGTAAATCCTTTTATGAGTTTGTTGCGATGTTCAAGCCATTCTGCACATCGTCTAAATTGACTGGCATTATCATTGTACTTGTATGCTGCAAGTGAGTATATTCTAATGAACTCATTCACAAACGCTGGTGTACATATTTCATCGCTTCCAACCAATAGCAACATTATCTTAACGTCGTAATGACTAGCGTAGTAGACATTGTCAATTTGAGTTGGCTCTATGTTGGAGATTTCCTCGTAAGGAATACCCAAGTATTTTTGAACTAAGTTGTCAATTGCTGGATTATTAACAACCCCTGATGCTAATACTAACGACATGGTTTGAGTTAAAAAAGTTTTTCGGGTGTTATCTAAAAACTTGTGTTACGCACACCTAGTATAATGCACTTCAACGCTTGTGTTACATCGCACATTTCCGCTTTAATTTATGCTTATTTTTTATGCTTATTCGTTCGTCAAAGTCATTTTTTTCCTTGGCATGAACCTTCAAATACCTCGTTTACCGTAAATTTGTGTAAATCTTCGATGAATCTTACATACCTATGCTACGCAGGTGCTTTTATATTCTAATACTTTTTCTCTTCATAATTCTTTGGAATGCTAAAAACAGTATAGTATAAGAGATATAACTACACAAATTTATTATACAGTGCTCTGCCAACCATCCCTGTCGATCAATTAGTAAAACATACTGTATGAGGTCATATTATTGCTGTTTTCAAAATGGTGCGATCATCACAAAATAAAAGAAAACGATATGAAAAACGATTATAAAAACGTGACTACAATCTACCAATATTTAAGGAGAAAAGTATTATTTATTGTGTAATACTTTTCTCCTTAAATATTGTAGATTGTAGTCACGTTTTTATAATCGTTTTTAAAATTTTTTGTTTTATTTTGTGTGATGATCGCACCATTTTGAAAACAGCAATAAGCAAACAAAAATTTTTGCATTTTTATGAAGCTAATTGATTATATTTTTCAGGGAAAATAATGATTAAACTAGGCTAGTTGTCATATTGTGGTTCGATGAAGTGATAATACGTAATATATATTAATATTAATATACCATCATTTCGTCTAATCACGGATCCAATACAACACCTTACTTAAGTTTATGAGTATTTATTTGAAGACTAAAGTTATTTGTTTAATAGATATGGCCAGTAGAGATTTTTGAAAAAAAAATAATAAAATAGACTTTTACTAATTTATCGGTCGGCAGGGCACTGTACACGCATATTAATATCTAATGATTAATACATTGTTTGAAAGCCAGAATGATACAAAATAAAGTTTATTAAGTTTCGCTTACCGTTATTTTTGAAACGGTGTCGCAACTAATTTACTAAATATTTAAGACGGACTCTGGTATAGAATTCCATTTCTCTGTCTAAATCCTCTATTCAATGTATCAGTTTCTAACATTATATTGCACGGTTAAAACTGGTAGCTTGCTAGAGCTGACGCGGTCGCAGTATATATATACGTGCTGTTGTTCTCTTTCGTTGCTGCAAAGAAAGAATTGAATATTAGAGTATCCCGTTTCATATGACTGCTGAATAATGCCGCACTATTTGTTCAGTGAATTTCACCCCAATACCCTAATGAAAATCAAAAACTTGCGCTTTATTAATATTAATTTGCAATACATAAACTGTACTCATACATTAATTATATTCTTAATTAAATCTAGCCATGGCTGTTTTAGAAGACGGGGCAAACCTACCATTACAGTCTCACCTGTCCATTTGTATAATTTGTTATTTGCATAAAGAGCCCATTGGGCTATTTGTATGCGTGAACATGCATATGCATACTGTGCATTTGATAGTAAGAGGAGCCACGCAGTAGTTAAATTCCTAGTGCCGACAATTATTACTACACTCCCGCAGTTGTTGGCACGACATCAGTGAGACCATTTTGGACTCAAAGTATAAATTAGATAGATACCAGATGCTGCTCCAAGCAACCTTGCTATTTGCTGGGACTGTTTCCAATAAGGGTCAGTATTCTGTTGGTATCAACACCACCCGGAAAGACAATAAGTTGACTTTTTCTTCTATGCTATTATATAAACAAACAATACCACGTGGAAAGGTACTTTGTATACCAACCTAATGATACAGAAGAACGAACAGTAAGTTTATTCATTTTCTTTTTTCCCTTTTTTTGTGTTTCCTTGTATGTTTAATATGATACAGTATATGATAATGGCCTCTGATCGTGAACATAAATAAAGATGTGATGGGTTTTCTTCGCGGAAAAACGCATTTAAGCATTAACATTGTCGGATATGTCACGTTTACAACCTTTGTTCAAAGAGATTAAATTATATTTCAAAAAACCCTTGTGAGGAAGAATGATCGCGCAAAAAAAAAAAAAAAATTTTTAGTTAACCTTCAACATTTCGTTTCCACCATCACCTCATTCACCAACCATCACCTGGAAGCCTTTAGCTCCGTCAACCATCCGAACACGGAATCTACAAAAGGAGACACGTTGATCAAATAACGTTTGAAAAAGATTTCTGCTATATCCAATAAGAGAGAAATTGCCGCCAACGCGTTTAAGTAAGAGGTATTTGTTTTGTCTACCATAATAGTCTGCATAGCCAAAGGACGGCATCGCTCCCTTCCTTGTATGACACGAAAATTTCTGATTGTTACGATAATTTATATGCTATATGTAATCGCTCTCCTTACTTTGCTTATTAATATTTTGGTAAGGAAAACAAATCTTATGTGCGAGACGAGAAATTTAATATAAAAATCGGTTATCCGTTATTGTAAGCGCATTATTATTATTATTATTATTACTTAATACATCAGGCGGGTGAAAAATGCCCTTGTTTTTGCATTGGCGTTTTAATACCCACAGTTTGATTTGGATAGGCTATAAACTTATAACAACTGTCAAATCTATTATAAGATGTTCGCGTCTTTAGACTGTTAATTCAATTTAGAAACCCATAAATCGACAAATATAATTTTAGCCTGATATAGTCCAATGTGTTAATGTGAAATAGCTATTACATTTATTTCTTGTCAACTTACTCAAAGAACAAAATTGATAATTTAAAAAAAAAAAAATACTAAGAGTATAGCTTCTTTCATGAATACCCATGCTCAAAGTACTTTTGGGACAATAAAAACTGTACATGAGTGCATATCTGTTAACTGAAAATGCTGAAAAGCTTTTCAGTAAACATTTGATAACTTAGCCAAACATACTATGAACTCGTGATAAATAATTATAATGTGAATAAATACAGGTTTCTGAGATGCTTTTGTAGCTGACCTTTATTATTAAATCTAAGTTTTCTATATGCAAGGTATTAGTATTAGTACCAATTATTATTAATCATGAGTGATCTCGTACTCAAAGCTCTTTCTCAACTAGCTGCTTACCACAGTTACTTTGGGTATTGACACTTTAGGATCTCAGAATCAGAGATATTAATATATCTGGATTTTTTCTCATACTTTTTAATACGAATTGAATGTGTTTTCCACAGAAGACCCGTTAGGATGATGATGATATGTTCGTAGCAAAGACGAGGTTGCACCACGCAGACATACAAGGATACATGGATGTAATAATAATTGACTTGTTGGCAGATGCGTTGAGCCTAATTAATATCAAGGAGAATGGTAAAGCAATGAACCGTCGAGCAGATATCAAAGAACGATATTCGTAAATTGGATGTTAAATTCTGATAATTCTTACGTAATCGTAATGACTAATACTCCTTATTCTGAGAGTACGCGAACAATATTCAATAAAATCGTATAGACTTTTGTGGCTTCGACCTGCTACATATAATTGATTATAAAAGGTCACCACCGCATTCAACGGAAACATTTCAAGCTCAAGTAAAGCTCGCACCTAATTCGGTTTCGCTTTCCATAGACTTAATAGAAAAGGCTTACGTTGAACATCGATCATATATTTGCGTTATAAATTAATAAGGCCTAAACCGCCGTGTTGCTTTCAATAGTTCTATTTTCTTCTTATCTTCTTCGAATTTCTTTCTCAGCTCGATAAGTTCTATTAAATAACCCATAAGTATTTGCCTATTCATCATTCCAAGACACAAAACATTGTACATGTATATGCAAAGATCCCAAGCCTCAGTCTCAGAAATCTTTTTTATACTTACTATTTCTTTTAGTCTCCCGTAATTGAAACCTGTAAAAATCCTGCAACTCTTTCTTTTTAGGCTTTAATTCTCTCGCTTCCTCTTCTCGCATCGCTGAGACCGTAATATTTCCATCGGTGTTAGTGTTTCTTTTCCCATAACGTGTTACCAATATAAATCCATCTTCGTCAGGTTTGTTATGCTTGGCCTCTAATTCGCGTCGGCGAGCTAGTTCCGATTCAGTAAAAGCTGACATGTAGGAATCGACTTTTGATTGAAGAAGGTGAAGAGGAGGACGGAGGCCAATTTCGGTATTGATGTATGCTACAGAGAGTGATTGCAGTAAATTTGTAATAGATTTAGTAAAAGTGCTTGTATGTATAACGAAGCGAATAATAAAGGTTTGGTTTTTTACATTCAAGCCCTAATGGTGGTACGATATCTTTGACGCTATCCCATATACGCTCCTTTGATCTCATATTCAAAGCCTTTTCTAACGCTTCAACGTCTTTAAAAACTATATATGCAGATGATCCAGGAGTCAATACTAGGCGTAAGTGTGATGAGTTGTCGTGGGATTCATTCTGAGAATCGGAATCGTTTGTATTCTTTTCCAATTGTTTCCCTTTTTTCTTTTTTTTCTTAGCCATACTAGTCTCTTCCTTTGCAGCTTCATTCGATATTGATGTACCATTACTCGATGAATTTGAAGTAGGATTTGTCTCGGACAAGTTTTTGTCTACAATTCTAAATACAACTTTGTCGACCGCACCACATTCATTGAACAATTCTTTCAAATGAGCCTCTGTTGCATCCACGGGAAGATTTGTTACAAACAAAGTCTTATCTAATGGAAGCGTCTCTCCCTTGTGATCGCCGTCCTGATTATGAGTGGAATTTTCGGCAGAACCTGGTCGAGATCTAGTCTCATGCTTCTTGAAAAAACAAAAGTGGGTCACGTTTTTTGTTTCTATTGAAGATTTGTTTGTTACGACTTTTAGATAGGTAGTTATCGGGAGAATTTTAAACAATGTTCCAGGAAGTTGTGGCAGAACGGGTGATTCCTTGGCAGAAGCCTTGGAAGATGATAGCTTTGTCCTGTGTTTTTTTGATTTGGCCATTTTTTAATATCTGTAATAATTTTCAGATCAGCAAATATATGGCCGTGTGACTTCGACTGTGTTCTACAGTCCGGGATTTTACTCGATATGGAAATCGATTCTAGAATGATCTGTAGACGAATTCTTGAAATTTGATTGGCTCTGCAATTTTTCTGCGTCTTTTTACTTTGTGAATTTTCACAACACTTGTTCACTGCTCAAATTATACCAGTACACGCTCGTCTACTTTCAATAATCCACTTCGGTTAAAAAAGTTGGACCGATCTAGTCATTTGAGATCTCATTAATATTAGGTGATGTAATTAAGGAAGGTATTGCAAGATTGACCAATGAGAATATAACAATTCACAAAAATAATCTTGTTTTTGAGATAGGACTGCAATGACGAGGCTCCTTGCGATTGAAACTTGCTCCGAGTCTGTTAGTGTTTAAGAAAAGGTTGCGAATATTGCGTTCGAAAGAGCATGGGGTATACTCTCTGAATATGTCACGGAAAGTTGAGACTATGTGTAAACACAGTGCTAACTAACAACAGATTTGACACACTATTATTATACATGACGTAAGTTAATAGAAGGTTAACAATTTATCTCATGCTATATTGACAGTGCCTGAATTTTGTGGATATTCGATCTTAAAAGATGTTAAAAACAACACTATGGTAAGAGTTAAGGTCCAGATTATGTTTCTCGCATTCTCTGTATTCTTATCGACTACGGGGTAAAGTAGCATTGGTCCGTTTAACACCAAATATACGAATATGAACAAGAGTCTAATTAGATTCAACGTAAACAACAATGCTCTTGGTGCATTAACTGTAGTTTCCCCGAAATGATATTTCAATCGAACCGCAACAAATATAACTGCTACCCCTCTAATTACAAAAACTATCATCAAGATTGCATGATTGATTACAGTTACATCCCACAGCGAGCTAAATTCGAATGCCGCCTGAACCTGTGTAGAGAAAACACTTTGTGTGAAACAAGTAAAATGTAACAGGCATATTAATATGCGCAGAGAACATTAATAATAAACTTACTCCTGACATCCAAACCATAATCAACAAAACTGTACCAAAAGTAATATCGACATTAGTAAATCGTGTTCGTTTTAATGTGTATAAGGTCAATGTCAATATCATTATTGTCAACAATTGATAAGTTATCAATGAAATCCGAAGGGAAATTTCGTCCCCTTTGTTATCAAACATAGACATTGAGAACGTGGTTATAGCCATTCCATTAATTAGGAGTTTATAGATAGCTAGGCTAAGGTCTTGGTTACTCATGATATAGAAGAGCGTAAGCCCTGCATTAACGCTAGCAGCCTAATAAAATTAGCTAATATGAAATTAACGAATACTCTCGTTAAAAATCGAACCGATAAACACACTATTGATTTACCGCTATGACCACCTCCAAGTAAACATCTCCGTTGCCCATCACAAATTGTGCGGTATGCAATTCCGCTGTAAAAGAAATCATTTTTTGTTGCTTTAAATATAACGTAAAAGTATGTTACACGCATTGGTCATGGGACATGTCGATAATGTAGAACTTCATTGTCGATAATGCACTTCATTGTCGATAAGTAAAAGTTTTTTTGTGTAATATTAGATTCTATATTTTATTGAGTCTTGTGATATTATTTACGAGCATTATTAGGTCTCGAAATTGATAAGAATGTTAACGATGACAAACTGATCCAAATATTAGTAGACAAACAGCTATGACAATTACTCGGCTTTATGGTATTAAGTAACCATAATTCTCCACTCCGAATAGAAATAGGCGATCGGCGCATTGTGTGTTTTGACGGGGAGGCAATCATTTCGTCGACCCGACAATCATTTCGCCGACAAATCTTCACCAACATTATTTCGAAGTTATCCTTTTTTGGTAGTTAATTGTCGGTGAAATGTACTGTCGGTGAAATGATTGTCGATGAAATAATACGGACCCGTTTTGACGTATCTTCTCATTGTAAGGATATGACGAATCACAAGAAGCTCAATTATGAGTCTATGTTTATTACGCAAGTTATCCAAAGAATCCATAACCTGAATCAGCGCGCTGTACGCGCCTCGCATTTCCTTTTTAGAATATGTCTCTACAAAATCTACAGTTATATCTTCTGTGGTCTTCTTATAAAAGGATGCCAGATTATATTTCTGCAAAGCAGATCTATAGGCTGAATCTACGTATATCCTCTTCTCTTTCTAAACATTTTCGAATCTCTAAAGCTTTCATATCATCCAGAACTTGCGCATTAGCAATTAATCCAAACCCAAATCCTTTTAATTGCATGTACACTTGTCAGCAACTTCTTACCTTCATTGTTTTCTGTGACCGTTGAATCAATGGAAGGACAATCTTCAGCACTGCTAATGTCATAACCACATTCTCTAAGACGATCAGCCAATAAACTACAAAATTGTTTCTAGACGCATTGCAGCAAAATGCATTATAGAGATGAGTTTCCAAAGAAGCGTTTGGCTTAAAAATCCAGGAGTAAGTGTTTTATCACAACGGGTCTCTTCTAAGTCGCGACATTACATCGATAGCTGATAAAACGAAGTAAGTCCTCGCGATCCGTTGGTAAATTATCGCTCCGTAAATCTGTTAAAATGTAAATTTTAACCTTCGAACACTGTGTAACAATTTATAAGCTTCGTGACACGTCAGACCAGCTAATTTACGGAAATGAGCAAACGTCATATCGAAGTTGTTATACTTACGCCACAAGTCATGACTGGAGTTGCTATCAAATAATCGAGATTTGCCACTGCATTATTAATATCAGCAAATATTTCCTTTTTCGATAATTGCATTTCCCTTGAATCATTCCTTATGAAGAGCCATAGCCATCTCTGCACTAGCGAACATCGGAATATAGACTTTAAACCCTTTTCTAAGGCCGATTAATTCAACATTCCACTTTTTGGCATTTATATCTCCTATATGCTGATTCCATATCACGGTTGAATTATCAGCATACAGTATATTGAGCAAGCTTTTAACGTGATCTCTTCCTATAACACGCCCCCCAGAAGCTTGGACGGGGATAAGAGCGTATGTTTGTTCTTTATTAAATCCTAATTCTGGTGCATGATCCCGTGCTTTGGGGTCTTTCAATTTTTGACTAATTCTTCGGCGTAACTGCTAAGCTTAGCTACGCTCATCTGAGGGGTTAGGTTGTATTGATTTACGAAATTTGCAGCAATTTTCGACATTATCTTATGCGGATTATAACTATGGAAATTATCTTTTAATTCAAAATAATTATTCGTTAATTATTCTTGGTCGTATTATATTTTTTATTCGATTTTTATACATATATGCCTATTATAAAGGGACAAAAGTCAAAATTATCGTCGTTTTAATATGTGCTACATGATCTGATCGGCGTATCTCGTGCATTATAACACGCTATATTGCGCTAAATCCATATTCTTTTGGAGTTTTTTTTTACCCATTCTTCGTCATTAGAAACGTCGTTTATAGACAAGATATTTTCTGGAAAAGCGCATGTTATATTATTACTAGATTCGATTTCTTTTGCAGAACAGGATACTTCGTAGCTGGAATCGATCCTTAATAAGCTATGATTATCGCTAGCTTCAATAATCTTAGCCGACTCCGCAGTATTGCCCGACGTTGTTTTTTTTCTGGTTAGTGGGTGGATTATCTTGCGGGATGTCTGAAAGTTCATCGATTGTTTCACGTAATTTATTCACGATTTTAGAACGATCAAGGATATATTGCCATTCTCTTTTTCCGCCACCCGCTCAACACCAATTGGTGGGAGTTTTTTTTCCGAGAATCGTACTGCTGAATGCTTTTTTGCCATTAACCTCGCACCATGTATATGGTATACCTGATATAAACTTGTGCAGCTTGGTTTATCAATTCGATCTTCATTCCATGACGAAATATGGTCGGATGGAATTTGGTAGTTGTTCACGTATTATTTCTGTTTTCATTCTTGTGCTAGGGATATCTTGTGGACCTCGGCAGGCTAACTCCGCAGCGAGCCAACCCCTGCAATGACGACGCAAATGTGTTCATTCGAATGATGATGCAAACGTAATCCCAATAACTGGGATGGTGTAATCCGGTGTCATTCGAATTACGACGCAAACGTAATTCTATCGTACCCAATAACTAGGATGGTTGTAAAAAAAGCTTAAAATGGATATAGGAGCGTTAAGAATGACATGGGATAGTTATAACCCACACTAAGTGGTATATTAATGTTGAGAAAGAGTATAGTTTTTCAAAATATTCCTTAGAAGGGTAGCCGATCGTATTAATCATTCTACCCTATTTGTTGAACTTGACAAGACATTAATGCTTCTGGAGTCTAATTAACTGGAGAATCTACAGAAATCACTAATCGACTGTCACGTAGCAAGAGCAAGTCGAAGATCAAAGAAATGGGTTACAGAAGACTTATGACTATATGGTTAATATTCGCAATCTATATGAAGAGCAACGTAGGAATAACGAAATTCTTACGGAACAATGGGCCTTTCGATATTAGAGGATATTATTCACGTCATATGTTACGTGTTAAAATAGAAGAGAATGTATGATACAACGTAATCCGGGTTGTTTTCCGGTGACTTAATTTTTTATTAGATTTCTTGCTGGACTTTCTGTTATCCTAAAAACGTTCCAAGACTTCAAAGACTGGGTAATATATTTTTTCCAGTCTTAATTAACCCTCTGCTGTAAAATGTCGTTAGACCTCGTTAGATCAAACAATGACTCTTAAGCATCATTGGAATATCTTTTGTCACGACTTCGACTCCGCCGTCTTTTTCTCCTATCTTCATGCCGTTTCCTATCCCGACTTACACTTCTACTCCTACTCCTACTCCTACTCCTACTCCGACTCCAATTCCGATTCCGATTCCGACTCCGACTCCTACTGTGTTGATGATTTTTATGGGGTCTGCGATCGCGGATTGGACTATTACTACGACCTCGCACGCCTCGTTCCTCGCTTAAACTACGTGATTTTCGGGAAGACCGTCGTCGGAATCGATCTTCATCACTTGGACTGCGTCGAGATGACCGGCGATGGCGGTCATCATCTCTATCTTTACTTCTACGACGTGCGGATTTGTGGTCACGCCTCTAGAAAATTAAACAACTATGTCAAAATCAAGACAGTTTATAATTACAATGGGGAGGAAACATTAAGTACCCGTTTTCCTTTTTCTTCTCGGCGTTCTCGAGTTCGAACATCCCTCGATTTCGTTTTACCATCTCCTTTAGCTTGTCTTCGGCTAATTTCTTCGTTGGTCATCTCATCATCCTCCTGTAAATTAAAATCCTTTGATATCGTACTGTACTGTGAAACCGTATACTAAAAGATTTTAAACGCCATTTCGTACCTGTTCCTTTACGGTTTCATCCGTTTTCTGAGTTTCATCAACGCCTTCCTGGGCTGACTGCGATACCTTTGAACGTTTTTTAGCACCACTATATGGGAGAGAAAAGACGGTATAAGTCTTCCTGAATGGAATATTAGTCATCGGACTAAGACAAGTGCGTCGACTTACAGCATAGATGCCATCAATTCTGATTCAGCCGCCTTAACTTTGTCAATCTCCTCTTTCTCTGGTCTTATTGGCGTTCCATCTTTTGCATACCATGTCAAATCTTTGCCTAAGTTTTGAGGAACGGCACAGAAATAAGCAAGCAGACCGGCTTTTTCTTACGATTAGAAGAAAAAAGAAAACCAGTCCAAACCTTGTTGCCATCTACAACAAATAAAATAGTCAGTTCGAGTTGGGTAAAATCATCTTTATCAAGTGACCGGAAAGAATAAACTTACCTGCCAACAGGAGCGTGCACTGAATGTCCCAAATAATTCTCTCGATACTTGTCTGTCTTTACATCGCTAGTGATGAACTGTTTTAAAATCTGTCCTTGATAACAGCAGGAAGTTCAAACTTGTTTTCTCAATACTTACTCCCCTGTGGAAGCGAAATTAATAGAGTTTAGCAAAAGTTCAAATATAGAGGATATAATAATAAGCTACAAGTAGGAAGTAAATCGGTGCCTTCGACGAGATCATCCGCTTGACAAGTTACATACAACTAAATTGATCCTAGGAATAGCGTTGGGAAATTTGTAAGCGACGGAAACAAATGCACTGAATACAAGCTTTAGTTACAAGCCTTAGTTGAAATCTTACCCTTCCACCTCTTACACCTCCTCGTGGTGGATGGTACATCAAGATCTTTCAGCAGAACAGAGAGAACGAGACAACGATTGATGGGTTGCTAATGTTCCAAAATTAGGGCGTTGACTGGATATGTCATGCACATGGTCTTTAAAGAATGTCGATCTTGACCAAGAAGAGGAAATCACGGTTTTTTGTCACTGGCTAAATGAACTTATCACTCAACATTGCACTCGGCGAAAACTATAATGCGACATTTCTCTTAGTTCTTTGAAATAATTACATAATCGCAGTCTCTTCCACATGCGAAAAGTTTGAATTGAATGAGTAAAAATTGGCTTTGATGATGATGAGAGAAGTTACTCGGTAATCTCAAATTTCTAAATGTAAATAGAGTTGAAAGTTAATTAAATGTGAATCAAGAAAGCTGCACACTTTACAAATAACATACGCATTTGTGATAAAACTTAGGCTATATAAATGATACACCAAGGAAATGATTTTGACAAATAACGTCTAAATAAAAAACAAAACAAAATAAAATAAAACAATTCATACACAAAATCGCTTGTAAAAAGGTACTAATGTTAACGATCATCTCAATCAGTCCAGAACTCAAACATTTTAGTTGTCTCGGTCCAGAACTCAGTCATCTCAGTTCAGAACTGAGACAGGTCCCGAACTGAGGTACAATACTAATACCGTTGTATCATAAAATCACGCGATAGTAATTTTAGCACGGTGTCAGCTAACACCGTGTGACTAACGAATCAGTATTGTTTTATCAACATATTGGTTATCATTCCATCCCAATCCTCGAAAATTATAATCGAAATATATGCCCATAAATAAGAAACATTCCACAATCAAACATTCTGTTCTTCTGATTTTGGAAAGAGTATAATGAGTCATTGGCTTCTATAGTCATTGCAGGCTTGCAATTGAATAAAACTCTTGTGAAGATAATGCATAAAATTTAATATGTTGATATTAATATTATCAGATTCTAGATTAATAAGAGCATGGATTATTCATTTACCAATAATTCTCGATTACCTAGATAATATCTGAATTCGTTAATGTCAACGTAAAGTTTAGCTCCAACAATCGTTAATTTAGGTTGCCTATAAAATCCATCCAGTTTGAATAAATAGAATAAAGATGACGTTTGATATTTATTTGCTAAGACTAATACCAAACGACGACATAAACATTAAACTCCTTATCACGCAAGATGTGGGTCGCAGGATATTCTGCATATACTGTATTCCCAAACTTTTTTGAATCAAACTCGTCATCACATAAAATATAGCTCACAAGTTGTTTTCACGCGATTTTTGTTCCGCGTTGCAGGTTGTTTTACGCAAATTTTGGTTTCGCGTTGCAGGTTATTTTCATCATCTCGACATTTAAATAATGACGCAATCACAATCTCATCGTAAATTACATAACTGTTGTAATTATATTTCACTATGTCTTATGTAATTATACTAAATCTATTGATTACTCAAAAATGTAGAAATAATTAGAATTACTTTATATGTGGCATTTATATATCTGAATAATCTGTAAAAAAAAAAATACGTTTATAGGCTTAGCAATTAATAGTAGCAATATTTAATTGACTTTTTATAAAGCCAGCCATTATCAATTTTGCAAATTGTCCAATAAAGCTTTTATAAATTTAATCGTAAAACGCGAGTTTTGTGTAAAACTTGGTCGTTAGACTTTGCCGCTAAATATAAAATACCTGGAGGTGCTGAAAAGTTTTGTCGCCAGGGTTGGATTTAAACAATCAGCTGACCTATGCAAAAATAGAGTTCCGCAACGTTTCGAGGAATGAATTAAATAAAAGATTACAAAAATTCATTTCGCCATTCTTGAGAACCCATTTTTGAAAAAAGAATAGGCCATAAACGATAACGATAATACATTTTCGTTTCATGTAGGAGCCAACTCAGGTTCACAGCGAGTTAGTCAATGGAGATGCACCATCTCTTCACACGGTTTAAAGCTGTTCAAGTGATAGAGATGACAGCATTCTTGACAAGGCTTGTTCTGAGCGTCCTTGCGAAGCAGTGACGTCAGAAAAAAAATTGCCAAAGTCGACAACTTCATACAAAATTGACCCTCATATTACTACCATAGTCAGTAGGTTTTTCCCATGAAAGCTTCATGCAAATAGTATACTGTCAGAAGTATTTTCAAACATTATGAAAAAAATCAGTTTAGATGTCATGCTTTACTATGACATGTTATCCCGCATAGGTCAGCAACCGTAACTGAAGATCTTCACAAGTAACACTTCTTCCCAATCTTCCATATAGTCCAGATCCTTCTCCTTGTAATTTTTTCTTATTCCTTCAAATCATGAAAATTTTATTTTTTTTTGAAAATTTGGCAAAAGCTGTTCAGCCAGTTGTTAATACCATCCCAAAGCTGACTATGAGATGTCCCTCTAGAGTTGGCAGAATTGTTTGCAACATTGCAGAGATGTTATTTTGAGGAATCAAATAGTTTTGTATTTAGAATCATCAAAATAAAGAATCGATGACAAAACTTTTCAGCCCCCCCCCCACGTATGTCAGAAAAATAAAACATAGGCGCAATTCAATAAAATAAAAATACGCCAAGCTATGAAATGATTATTATTTTTTCGACATCTCTCTGACATCTTTGGTCATCGGAGGTTGGATTCGATCATAATTTCGACAATTATGAATGAAAATCTCGAACAACTTGCCCATCCATTCTCATACCTCTGACAGACTCTGTAATTAAAATATGCCTGCAATGTGAGCGAAAGAATTTGGAAAACTTGCAACTTTTTGAATAATTATTATCACTCTGATGCATCACGTGAATTAGAATTCAATGCACTGATTGGTATATTCTTTCTATCGCAATGGTGTGGTTCTGAATATCTAGAATGCCACTTTCACTACTTTCTTATACTCATAACAATTACTACATTCACCTTTTATCATGCCTTTTCTTTTCGAATAATAAAGCGTATTTACAAGCTTCCGCTTTCTTTTTTAATGTTCTGGGCAAGTAGAAATATCACGTGTATCATTGGAATAACATCCGTTGCTGCAGTGTGTAACTGTAGTTTCAATCGAAGATCCTTGTCCCACGGAATTTTCTCAAGCTCTTTTGATTTACTGTTACTGGCGTTCTTGGCGTTTTCCGCATTATTCCGTCGGGAATTCCTGGATTGTGTATGTTGTGTCACTGTATATTGCCAAATGGGTTCTAACTTAATTTACAAAACCGGAATTCAAAAAGAATTTCGATTCTATATTTGTTGCCTGCAAATGTTCTAGACGACCAATGTAACAATCACAAAAATCATCTTTGGTTACTATTTCATCCACTTCGTGCTCCGAGCAAGTAGGCAATTATAAAATAACTTTAATCAAAAACGAACCTGCCATTCTTGTCGATAGTGATTGGTTATCACATATCGGAAATGTACTCCGATTGCAGTTGTATTTTTTTTTTCATGCTGATAACATGATAATGCCAAATTATTTGTTTTTGTTCTTACGAGAATGGTCAGATTGATTCATAATGTTATGCTTATATCGGTGCCACTGCTTACACAATTACGCAAGGAACAATGAGTCCATCTACTATAAGAATTATCGCATCTCCTTGTTTTCTTAATTAGGTAATCATGTTATTCCTACGCTTCTTGCGCGAGTGACCAGTCGAACTCTAGCAACAAGGTTTGATATCTGATAGCATTGCTATTGGTCAGTCTCATGAATGATCATTGATAAATGACTATCATTATTACTTTTTCATTAACTTATAATGACTAGTATTTACTTTTCCTCGCATAAAGCCATATGCTCATTATCAATCAACATTGGTACCACACAAATAAGAATTGCTGTGAAACCTGATACTCAGCGAGCAGATGATAAGTGAGAGAATGTGTGACTGTTGTTCCATCGACACACATTTAAAAATAGATAGGACAACCCCATTGTAATCTATGGCAATGATATACACGGCTATTGGTCAAACATTGCCAAAAAGTATGCATTGTTGAATAGAACACTACGAGATGATATTAATAATGTTCTTCAGTCTATACCGAATGTAATAAAAACTCTTGTATCACTACACATTTTACTAATAAAACATAACAAACCTTTTTGGAACCTCCTTGTTCTCTTATGTAATATCAATCTGATCTGTTCATATAATGTGCAGAAGCGACATATTGTTACACATTATAATGCATGTGCATAGTATTATGTTAATATATTAATATCAGATTCCGATTGCAATACTTCGTAAATAACGGGGTCATTATGAAGTTTGAAAAAAAAAGTTTTGTTCATTTTTTCAGAGCGAATTGGAAAAAAAAAAGTTACTGTAAGATATATGAATAAATTTTGAGTGTTAATATATATTATATATCCCCAATATTACTCGCAGTAGGTCAAATGATCCTACATGCTCAATGTTTGCTGCTGTTATTGGTTTGTAATATGCTACCCCGTACATGGTAATTTATTAATAATATCGGAGGCTACCTTAGTTCTTATTTGAATTTTTTATTCATCATAGTAAGATTTTATGTTAATAGTCTTGTTATGTCTCTTGGCCTCTTCTCGAGTTCCCGTTGGTTTAACTTCTTGCAACTGTCCACTTGTTTACCACTTTACTCTTGGTTAGCTTTTATTGAAAATTTAACGTTTAAGCGCTGTTTAAATAGTATTGTAAGCACACTATATATATATATTTCTTAATAGATCTTCAATGAATAGAAAGAAAAAAACAAGGTCATAAGCCACTACGTGTAAGAAATTTTATTTTGGCCTTTGACTTAATCTTTAATAATTTGTTCTATGTTCGTATATATTACTGAATTATTGTATGTATATAGATTGAATTGGCTCATGCGGTAATTATCTTATGATAACTATTAGACAAAATATTTTTTTCTCCGAACAATCGAATAAGTTTTATTCAAAAAACGTATTGTTCATTGGGGAGGTTCAAGTATTTTGTTAACTTGCAGGTAGTAAAAGATTTTACTACGAAATCTTTTTCCTTTAGTTGAATGATAATATATGATATATATGCTACATATAAGAGCTCATTTAAAAGAAAACTTATTATTATAATTAATGTTAGTATTTACTACTACCCCCGTATATAAAATTTATTTATATGTATTCAATTGCTACTTAGTAAAGAAAATTTTTGTTTAGGAAAATTTTTTTATCCCTATTTTTCTGTTAAATTTGATGGGAAAATTAAAGTGAATGGAGAGAGTAAGACAGGGATCAGTTTACGGAAAGTTAGTTAATTAATACTACAGCATTTGTAGTTGTATTATTCGCAATAATAAATAAATAGCGGTCATGTGCAGATTACTATTGGCTCGAAAAATAAATATACTTATTAAGTGTAACACCCATGATGTAGTAACACAAAATAATGGTGCTCTGTGTTTAAGAGAAATGATACTATTTCCTGACGCGTGTTTACTTTATTCTTTAGCTGCGCTACCTTTCGCCTACACTCGTCTACGGGGATGAATAAAATAACTGATAACATTTCTGATAGAGAGGAGTCTGGGTACGTAAGATTAGCCGAGAACTGGGTGGTTGGTCGAGTGCAGGCTTATCTTTCATTAACGTTGTACAGTATGACGTATCATTTTCATTTTTGGCACCAATAATTTTAAAACTCATTTTCACAATGGGATTAAGGTTCATAACGCAAAGCACGTTGGGAACAATGGCCCAAGGTTACACACATCGTATATGTTCATTGTGTTAATTTTGTGATTATGTATCGGGTACGCCCCCCCCTATTGTGTATACACACACAAACCGTCCATAACTTTTACCCAGATATCCGTCGTCGATAAACATGATAGAAGTACGGTTACGGGAAAACAATCTTGGCTTTTAAGCACAAATACCAAGCATTACGGGTTAATGACAATCAGGTTGAAAAATTATGTTCGGTTTAAGAAACTAGTCAAACAAAAATTACTTATAGTTCAACTCGGTAGCAAGCGCCCTAGACCATTGAAAGAACAAATAGGCTGCGGCACACTACTTGGCATGACTAATTGTACATAAGCAGGATGTTTACTTTTTCACTGTTAGAGAATATTTTTATTAATATTAGTTTAGCATTTGTGAGATGATTATTCTACACGTCATCATTAAAACATAATTGACGGTAGAAATATTATGATAATCAACTTTTGGTTCCAACCGTGCACATGAGAGTTTTGTTGCGAATTTGCCCAGTCTTTATCAAGTTAAAATATAAGTTTCTTTTCGATAGCAAAATAAAATCGGCTGAAAGGCTACAGCCCAGCCCATCGCCATCAGACTCTCATGCTATTTTCGCTATAGTTGATTGTTTGTCTAAAGCCACAATCGCCGTTTAAGAGATCGATCAAAACAACTTTACCACACATTATACGGCTATACATTACTCCCAAAGCAGTAGCCAGTCAACGAATGTTACAATCAAGTATTGTTGGTTATAGTTTATTGTAGCATCGCCACTTATTACTTAATCCATTATTATATAAGACTTGGTACTAAATCATATCTAACAAACGGCAATAAAAGAAGAAAAAAATAAATAAACAATTGTAAATCGGGCAATGTTTACAATTGTGACTGCAATAAAGTTATCTGTTTATTCTACGTATATACAGTATGTATATATAATTACCTATTCTAATTAATGTCGAATCTAGTCGATTGTTGTTATTATTATTGTTGGACAATCGGTGATTACCTAGATGGTACCCATGTCAAAACATTACCAACCATATATGGACATACAGCAGAATTTAGGAAAGGATCAATACTAAAAGGCATCTTTCTAGACCATCGCTCTTAAAGATTCGTGCCATGAAACGGGAATCCTCTAAACTAAACACTCTCCCCCCGATCGCGTCACATGTACATACACATACGTATTTCATATTTCTGTGATTTTCGAATTGTCCGAATTACTCGTGTATACGTGGCTTTTTTCAGAACAGGAACTACTGAGTGAGCATTCCATATATAAATTCTCCCTTTTTGCTTACATCATTCGGAAATTAAGGAATTATCAACGTTCTGCTCAATAACACTTGTATGAATTAAAAACGTCTCTAATCGCTTGTGGACCAACATTTATGAACCCCCAAATTTTTTGTTACTAATACTTATTTATTTACTATAACCTAATTCGCACCCCCTTTATTTTTCAATTTTTTTATTTTACAAATATTTCCTACTACTTTAAGTTAAGAATAGGCTTTCGAATGCAGGGAGAGAACAAGTTAAAGCATTGAATGAAAGTGAGGAAAGCGAGGGAGTAGGAAGACAAGAATGGGGGTATAACTAACCAAAGTTCAAAGCACAAATTTTTACAAGGGAAAAAAAAAGGTGAATATAAAGAAAGAAGAGAAAAAAATAGATAAACAAGAAATGCAAAATATGCACAATATCACACAATGTTCGATGCCGCCAAAAGGTGTCATTGCAATAAACAAGCGTTCTTTTTTTTTTGTTTTGTGGAGAATAAAACCAACCTTCAAATGAAAATCTCCCTCGCATTAACCTACCAAAGCATAACTACGAGTCAAAAGCAATTATTAAACTAATACTAATAATAAGTTCTCGGTCGCCTTGTAGCGAACTGAAACTCTTCGTGCTACTTATTCATAAAGCAGTTTGCAAATTCTTCACGTAAATCATCGTTCTTGCAGGTTATTAACAACCCTCGCGTATTCTTCGTTTGGCCCTTATCTCTAATCCATATCAACAACTTATATATCATCCTCCGACACTCACATGTTGCTTTTCTTTTGCTTGCAAGACTCTCTCCGCTTCAAAAATGACTAAAATCCACTTCCCTAACATCTTCGACTCTAACAATAACATCTGCGTGGCCAACCCCATGAATAGCCTTTCTTACAACATCTCCCGGCATGTATTCGAGTTCACCGTTTGCACTCATTAATACGAATTGCTTCCCGGAGGGAGGCGGTTTTTTGAAGGCAAAGTTGATGAGGGACTCAAAGGTCGTATTGTCGGTTACGGCAATGTTGTTTTTGTAAACTTTACTTGGCGAGCGAATTGTAACTGAGCGGATCTGTTGGAATGTCGGCGAAGATACTGGAGAATCTATAAAGCGTGTGTTGAGAAGGATATAGTGATGAAACATGGAATACCACGAGGAAGAATAGCGTCAAGTTTAGCGTTGGATATTTGAATGTGAAAATGGAAAAGACATCAAAAACAGGGTTAGCTCAACGCTTGTATAGCATTTGCAATTCTCAACTTACACTCAGCGTTGGGAAATTCAAAATTATTGAATTCATTCATACCAAACAGACCTGTTATCATATCAAGCCCAGTGTTAGATAAACGTGGTGGACTTTTGCGTGGAGTGAGTGGCGCAAGAGGTAAGTTTGTCGGCGTATGATTGATATTTGTGCCGATTACAAGATTCGTCTTTGGAGCTAGAGTAGATTTGGGTAGAGAAAAAGATACTGATATTGTGAGAGTACGTTCTTAAACACTTATTCACATTCTACATCACGATTATCTTGATTAACTTTTCTACCTCCGTTCGCTGCGTTTCCATTAGTATTCCTCTTTCCGTACACCACTAATTGTACTGCGCTGCCGCCTTCCGCCTGCCCGCACACAGAAGTCCAAAACATCTTGAAACTATCATCATCTGCCAACGGACAGCGCTGATCTGCGTCCCATGATTCGAGTCGATAATACAAGGTAGTTTTGTCGACCTCTCCCCATCTCTTGGAGTGGCGATGCTTGGAAAGCGCCTCGTAGACCAGTTTCAAGGCATTCACAGAATCAGCTGTAGAGAGGTCGGGTAAGACGAGTTTTGAAACAGGGTCGATGCGAGTTGGTGGTGACGACGAGTTGTCGTAGCAGACTAGGGTGAGTTGGATTGGAGGTGTTGTATCTAAATCGGTTGGGAAGAGGATGAGGAAGGGAAAGAAGCGTTAGTCACACACGAAAAACTACGAGTTGATGTTATAGGTCAATATGCATTGATCGAATCGGTTATGATTCGCGATGCAAACGATTTCTTTACCAGTATATCGCATATCTAATGTTGATCGATTTGTCTAACCTCCGTTGATCTAATCTGCTTGACCTAGCTAACATACTAATAATGTCTTTCAGATGTAAACTACTACTACCCTTCCCCCCCTAATGCACTATTATTGCCGACGATCGTCTATACGGTTTGCTACTCTTTTGGTTAAACTCACTTTCGGTCTCGTCCTGTACTTCATCGTCTTTTCCGGTTTTCTTCTTTGGATTCTTTCCTTCGGCCTTCTCTAGCTCTTCCAGCACGTCTCTCATCATCGGCTCAAATATTTCAGCATCCCATCCATGTTCCATTGCCATATTGTAGCTTTCAATATGCTGGAAATATTGATCTAGCGAATTTGCTTTGATGCTGCCTTGCTTCTTTTTTGTAGCAATATACTCTTCCATGTATTCTTTCGTTACTGGAAAAAATGACTCTTCGTTTGGATGGATAGATTTCATAACATTGATGTAATTCTTGACTCCGCAGCGGGAAGCACGGGTGGATAGGGAAACGGAACGTTGTCGACGACGGGGTTTAGATATGTGCAGGTGCTTTCGCGTTGCCGGCATTTTGTATCGTAAGTAGAAGAGGAAGTAGAATAGTGAATGGGGTTGGGGAGAATAGTGGTGTAGTGTGATAGTTCTAGCTGGTAGGTTGAATAGTGAGTAAGTAGGGAGGTCGTAAGTAAGGTCGTGAGTAATGCGGGAGAGTAATGTGACGAGTAGTGAAAGTTATAAAGAGTTTGGGTGGTTTTTTATAGTGAAGGGTTATAGTCATAAACTACCAAGGAATGGGTAAGTAAGGCGTAATATCAGAGGAATGAAGATTTAAGTAGAGTTTTTTTTTTTTTTTTGATGTAAGTTTATATATAGAAGGAAGGGGGGGGGGTAAAAGATGGTATGTAGTAGAATTTGTAGTGATAGTTACTTCTGATTGTTTGGGGACAGTTAGCGTGTGTGTATTTCTTACAGCCTTGCTTAATAATTTACTCCCACTCGTAGTTTCTTTTTGCGTACTCTTATAGAATGTAGTAAATAAGGGAAAGGAAAACGAACTAATACTACGAGCTTGAGAAAAAAGGGCGCTGCTTACTTCTCCGCCATTCTAAACAATCGGGATTAATGGACGTCATAGCGTATGACGAAAGCAAAAGTTTAAAATACGAGTATAAATTAGAGTTATTTTTGTGGGATTAAGAATGCATGAGGATATGTAGTGATTTTGCGATTACAGTAAGAAAGATGATAAAAAATAGATTAATGTTCAGTATACAATGCAACAGTTGATCCTATTACTATGTGATACTTGTTAATTATTGATTTGCATTCGTTTAATGAATTATTGTGTTTTTGTCTAACTGGAGGACAGCAATAACAATAAGTCTATTATAAGGTGGATGATAGATGCACAAATATACAAACGGTGTATATTATATAATAGATAACAATATAGATAATACTAGAAGGACGTATTCTACTTTTGTTTATTGATACTCTATTTTGTGTACGTATGTAGGGGAAATGGCGGGAAAAGTTGGTATGATAAATAATTCAGTTTTGTGGTCCGTTATCAATCCAATCACAATAGGATATAGAATAACAAGTACAGTCTCTATAAACTAATACTGCCGAACGTTCTTCCTATTCCGATTTATGCCTGATGGTCCCATTTTACTAACAATACGTTAACATTATGACATTCATTACTCATCTTACTCATGGTAACCATAAATATGTCGAGTGGAATATAATCATATGTTATTTTAACATTAATAATAATCAATTCATCAATGTTTGGTATTATTAATGCAATTAATACTATTTTAGAAATAGTCTTAGGAGTTTAGTAAAAGCTATCGTACATGAGTGCCAAATGCACAACACACATAAACTTAGCTGCACGAATAAATTGATCAATGGCAGATAACAATAGAGAAAAAAATCTTATTATACTCTGAGAGAAGCATTGGGATATTAGTGTCGATGAGTGAGAAGATGGAAGGAGAGGGAGGGAGAGGGAGAGGGAGGTGGGGAAGAGAGAGAGAGAATGGGACGGAAAAGAGTCTCCTTTGGGATAAGAGACTAACAGGTTAGATAATCCGCTGCTGGAATATTTGGTAAACACCCCCCAATCTTTACCATCATGTGAGATTCAGTCGCTACAAACACATCAACGTAATATATACCCATATCCATATATGTATTCATAAAGAGTCTCGAACCTTCAAAAAATGCTGTTGCACTTGTCTCAAGAATGGAAAACAGCAAGTTTTTCCGCATCCGTTGAAACTCAGACGTTGGACAATATAACGTCCCGTTCGATCTTGGGAACGCGAGTTTCAGATGAGAAACAGTTTCACGGCTTTTACATTTAACTGTTCGATTAATATCTGAGCTAATACTTTTTCGCAGAGTTCCGAACAGTTGCGTTTTATTCTCTGATTTGTTGTCGCATCCAACAACTTTGAAACAACCAACACACTTTAATGGTATGTCCAACCAAGCTCTCATCTCACCTAATTTCTATCTGTAATATATACTCGTATTATCACTAATCCCGATAGTATGCAATACCAACAATAAGGCGCTTATTATTCATCTCGTCTAGGTCAACAATGAACATAGGAAGGGCAAAAGATTTAATGTAGGGATACGAGTGATTTTGTATATCCTTTTTACACCCTTGTTTAATTCAGAGACACAACTTATTAATTACTTGAAAAACATATTTTTAAGTTACACTCGCAATGTAGGTTAATAGTGCACAGCACGAACCCTCCCCCAATTTTAAGGTTTATGTTATAATTTTGGTGTTGCGAATGACGTAGTGTACACCTTAAATCTAATTATCTCAGCATGATGGAAGATGGTGATGGTCTCGTAACCTAAAACGAATTTGTGCAATGGTTATGTGATTGTGACATACAATATGCAGTCAAGTGAACGTCTGACATCAGGTGCTAGGGTAAGGTGTCTTTCCCTCCAAACACGAGCGCGATTCGTTGGAATTGGTCATGTAGGTAATATTTTACTTGATTTTCAATTCTTTGCTAGCTTACAAGAATCTCGGTTACATTCTCGTTTTTTCGAATTACAATCTTAGCCAATAGTATCGTGCAGCCAGATAATTTATTAGATGTCTTTTTCATGTAACTGGTAAGAGAATTTATTATTGGCTTTTATAACATTAAAAACTATAAATATTGTAGAACAATCTGGATGAAATAATGTGGATGAATTACCGAATCCTCCTCATCTAGGCAGAAACAATCTTGTTACTCTCTATGAACTGGGCGCCCGAATTATTGAAAGAACCGACATGAATTTTCTATTAGAAGTTACAAGAGATTGTAGTATTCAATCTGCCAAGCTGGAGAAGGTAAAGACAATGTCACAGAAGTTTGAGGAGGAAACATACAGCCATAATCTATTAGATCTTTGTTTCTTTGTTCGAGTTCTGTTATTATGTTGTCCCATTCTTTTTATTTAATATACCAATACTCTTTTTATGATATCATATTAAAGCGCTGTATATAATTATTTTAGTATTTTTTTTTTACTTAAAAGCTTTGGAAAGCTAGTGGTATTTTGTTGAAAGATTAGACTTAAATAAATTAATGACAAGTCGGGACAAATTACGAACGATGAAGTAATGTAGGCGATTTTATTCTAAATACGGTGTGTCACTATTGATTGTTGTGCTACAACGGGAAGAGTAATGAATGAGCTTTATACTTTATTTAATAATTTATGAGCAGTTTTATTGCCAATTAATAGAGCATTTGATTCACAAATATTTCCTATAATTAGCTTACGCTTTTGTCTTCTCGATTTTTCACTAAATTATTCAGAAATAGAATCTCGATTCTTCGATTATAAACCGCCCTAACTTCACACAATGTTTGAGCATAGATTTCCTACAGTGTTTTGGCCAATTGCCATAAAAGATTTAAGACTGAACTATTGACAGGCCACTAATAGTCTTGTAATCGAATCTGACAGCAAAAAGCTAGGGTTGAGCAAAGCAAAAGTTTGAACTGTTTGACAGTTTAAAAACAACCGTAAGTGTTTATAAAATACACGCGTTCGAAAAGCTTCTATTTTCTTGCCATTCTTTCGTCACACACTGTATTTCGTTGTTGCCAGTATAGATCTGTTAAATGGGCGACTATGATTTTTTGTAATCCAAAGGAAGAAGACTTTTAGTATTAAATGGATAAATATTAATTTCTTTGTAATTTCAGAAACACTCGCTTTGTTGTGTCTGAGTTTGGGACCTGTCTCAGTTCGGAACCCAGTCACTCAGTCCAGAACTCAGTTGTCTCAGTCCAGAACTGAGATACGTGTAAGTCCCCAACTGAGGTACAACATCATCATTGTACTCGTCTGTCAAAGTGGGTAAAATTCACTCGCTATTTTATCAACTCTGCGAATAGCGCATAGACGTTGTCATTTTATTTCGGTAATTGGATCCATTCAAGGTTATTACTGGTGGCGATCAGGTTGCCATGTTGAATATTCTTAACTAACGACATAAATTTGGATAAAGAAAGTTTTTCAAGTAACAATTTTGGAGGGTGATTCTCAACTTAAACCATTATAATTAGTCATAAAATTTCTGGTTTATTGTTTTCGAGGCAGAGTTTACGTTTTAAACCTTAAATACTATAAATTTTTTACATAACATTATTGCATCTGTAAATGGGCGCAAAACAACTGTAAGATGGGCTTCACGGTCTCAAAATACAACATATTATATAAGATTTGGTGCAAAACATTAACAATTTATTTACTATTATTATATTTGCATGAAGAGAACTTATTAGTAGTAATACCAAAGAAGAGAGGAGGACAAAAATATTACACGCTTTTATTTCTAAAAAAGAGTCAACATTTAGTATTGCAGCAATCATAGCTTGGGTATAGATTATGGTGTGTTTTTTGTAAAGCGCATTCCATTAATTATGTTCTGCGGCAATTTCCCTTATTCATAGTAGCAAGCTGTTGGAACTGTTGTGCGATGGCTTCTTGTAATTTTTGCATGGTTGTGTTCTCTCTCGCAGCTAGCCAGTTTTTGAGGGGTAAGCCCTTTGGCAAGAGACCGATTTACACGCAAACAAATTTTGATCTATAGAGGGACCAATAGGATTCATCGTAACACAATTTCCTTTAACGTTATTATTATTAGACATATTCGCTTTCGGATTATTCAATAACGTAAATTTATTTGTATAATTCTAATAAACAGAAAAAACGTTATTACTACTGCATAAATGTCCAATTAGTTTTCTGCAGATTTTTCGTTTTAAGTCTCTTAAACCCGAGACAAATCGACTATTTACTTCTATGTCCTTATTCTGTTCCAAATAATCACATAGAACCTGAATGCTTTCTAAAGTAATTTATTGGTGGACCCATGTCCTCTTCATCGTCAATGAATATCCTACATTACAAGAACGTCTTTTCTAAATCATCAAATACAATCATCAATGATATAAAGAGGCATAAACAATTTACAAGAATGTTCGTTCTAAATCATCAAATGAAATAGCAAAGTCATCAATGATATAAAGAGGCATAAACAATTTACTATTACAAGAATGTTCGTTCTAAATCATAAAATGAAATAGCAAAGTCATCAATGACATAACGAGGTACAAACATTTCTTTAAATTACAAGAACTAGAACGGTCTTCTCTAAATCGTCAAATAAAATAGCAAAGTGCGATATAACAAGAAAATGTTATCTGTAGATCTTTGTTTAATCACGTGAATACGACTTATCGAGAGTCATTTACTTGGAGAGGTTGTCCGACTTCAGCTTAACGAGAGTTTATATATGTCGTCCGACTTATCGAGTTTCACTGTATATGTTTCCTGATAAAGGCTCCCTGCTCTAATAAGGAAATTACTTTAGGAGCATTAATTTCAATTGAATTTTGTATAATAAAATACTCTATTCAAATGGCATTAAACCATATTTATTGTCACGGCTAATGCTGAAATCAACCAATGGGTTTAGAGAATAGAATCTGATCAACCAATGAAAGATCATGGTTTCATTTATTATTGAGCGCTAACGGGATCGAAATCTTATATTCCTATTGGTTACTTTCCAATACTATTATAATTCGAAGCGTTATCTCTATATAGCATGTTGTGTCTGAGTTTGGGACCTGTCTCAATTCAGAACCCAGTCACTCAGTCAGAACTCAGTTGTCTCAGTCCAGAACTGAGATAAGTCCCCAACTGACATACACTTTCTACTTACAACTATCACCTTGGTGTATGTCTATATGTATAACAGACATGAGGAGATCTTGTCCTGGACCTGTTATTCAGATAATTTTGAAAATAAAGTTGCTGAAACTTGTCATGATACAGGAGTTACCGATAAAACTGCAAGAACACAAATATATAAGGAAATGTTAGGACATCTAATTGGTGTTACGCTAGTTGCCTTACGGATTAAAACTCTTAGAGCTAAAAAAATTCGCAAATTATTTGGAGAGAATGGTGTAGGAATTGATTAAATTAAGTATGTGCAAATGAAATTTCAAAATTAACTAATGCACAAATTCAAAATTTTATAGATATCAAAAAACGTTTCCTCGGGAAATGATCAGAGTCACATGCCTTCGAAAGCAACCAATAGTGATCAAACTAATGTATCTTCGAAACCTGTTTCTACCACATCTCATCCATAATCTAAGCTAACTTATGATCGATCCCAAAACATTGGACTAATATCCTACTTTATATAGAGAATATAGCAGTGAAATTTTTGATTATTATGGCATTACTGATGAGACATCATGCCCATTATGCAAGTTAGATCATAATGATGAAGAGATAGATATAAAACTGGATCCTATTTTATTAAAATGTGAACAGCGCGAAATTGAGATAGTTGCATAGTTTCATTATTTAATAATACTACATTTGCTCACGCTTCATTGTGATTTTTTTTACAGGGCCAATTACGTCGACTATACTTACTATAATTTAAATTGATTTGCAATCATATAAAAGACAATATGACCAAGTCTGATAAAGTATTATCTGGATTGGTATGCCAAATTAAGTGGGTTACCAAGCGTTTTGCTGTCTTGACAGATAAAACTCATATAAAACAACTGTTAGCTGTGACATTTAATGTCACAATTCTTCAATAAGGTTTTGAATAAAAATTATATGACTGAATTCCGACTACTGATCAGATCTGTAATCCCTCTATAAAACTAACTTGTTCCCCAATTCTGCAAAAAAAAATTTTTTTCTTTTCTCATTTATTGTTGTGATGCAAAATAACAGTGAAAATGTCTATTAATGGTACGCCTATTACCCTTGGTGTCTTGAATACAGAAGTAGTTCCTTCTCCGTTACCATTGGAAACCATAATTCTATTTTTGATCTAAAGAAAGCTATCTTCGAGGAATTAGTGTACCTGACAACTAAAAACTTAGTTTATGGAGTGTTAATGTTGAGGAAAGGAGTAACACTCCTGATGGTTTAATGACTGATAAAAATGAAATAAAAATTGCAACGCAAAAAGTTAGCAACACATTCCATGGAGTTCAAGGTAATAACATTCGAGTTGTTGTTAGAGTTCCTATTGCCACCGGTGAGTCAATAATTTTTAGTCAACGCGATATAGCATAATTTTTTTCGTCTCCTCTGTCATAATACCGAATACTTACATAATCTTGTGCTTTTCTCTCCTGCTTCTTATAGTCAAACCCGCCCAAAAAACACTCGCGTTATCGTAGAGCAACCCGTTATTGGTAAGTGAGTCGTAGCAAAAATCAGTGAACACTATATGGTTTACTTTTATAATCTTTGTTTCGTTGTCAACCTAGTTTTGTTGGTTTTATTAATACTTATGAAGGGAATATCTTTTCTTGTAGCAAGACCTCCAGACAATTCTGTCCACGTTTTTATCGATAACTCTAACCTCTTTATTGAAGGTTCGAAAGTTGTTGTCGATTAGAAAATGTGAATGTCTATGACGACACTTCCTCGATTTTTATGTAGATCATGGCCTACTTGTCACAACAATTTTAAATGGACGAAAATTGGGCAGTACTTTTGTTGTCGGCTCTGTTCCGCCACCTAATGATGCGTTGTGGGACCGAGCTAGGTCTCATGGGTGTGAAGTAACAACTTACAAACGAAACGCATCAAACAAAGTCGACACAGCACTTGTTTGCCGTGCAATGCGTTTCATACTTACTAAAAAACATTCTACGTTATTGCTAGTTGCTGGCGATAGTGACTATTGTTCTCTAATAAAGGAAGCCAAAGAAGAAGATTGGAAGATTGAAACATGGTTTTGGGATGGATCAAGTTTCCCACAGGAATGTCTGGTGAACTTAAAAATATTTCGACTTATATACCGTTGGATAATTACTACAAGTCTTTTACATATATCACAGGACTTGATTTCAAAATATACCCTTGAGATCAGCGGTAATATTATTAAGGATTGGCATTATAGAAATGACGCACTTAAGTAAATGCATAAAGAAGGAAAAGTCCAATCTTTTGGATTCATTTCTTCTAGGAATGCTAATAGGGAGCATATTATCTCAGTGCAAAAAAATAATATAAGTATTTATGAGACTGAGATAAAGCGCCTTTATCTGGAGATTACATCCCGTCAGTTTCTCGTTCAGATAAAGCATCAATATCGCATGATAAACATTTTAAATCCAACACATTGATAAGTATTTGGATTCTGTGCGAGAGAATTACAATAAAATAGCACTCTCGATTCCCCCTAAACCGCAAGAGATAAATCCTCTTCCAAAAAACTTTCAAAGCCCACAAGCAGAGTTAGAAAACGTATCTAACAGAGTTTCGAATATTCGATCCTCAAATTGCAAAAGTAATACAAGCGAAATATTTATCTCTTCTCTGTTTGCAAGACAAAATAATTTATTACCATCATGATCTCAATCAACCAAAAGTGATGATATTAGAGAATGGGACAGTAATCAAGTTTGTCTAACTGATTTGACTGACTGACTGATTCGATATTTAACTTATTTTACACTTCTATCGCGAGGGACTTTTATCCACATAATTTACAACTTCCTTTGGCCAGCTTTTAGACTAGCTCCTATTTGACCATATTAATGTTAATGGGGTAAGGGGCAAGCCCCTTATAAAATTTACATATGGAGTTTTTTGTTCTGCAGATCTCTTGCCGATCATTTTACAATAGTATAATCTTCAAATCGATAATATATTAATAAGGCTTTTGAAGGAAGCAAGCTACACGCCTGAAGAATGCTTAAACATGTGCTCTTTAGACATTTTTTTGCTACTTTTATAAAAAAGTCGCAAATAAATAAGGTTTAACAATAAAACCCTACATTTATGTCAAGTAAATTGAAAAATCGGCTACCTTTGTTCGAATGTACGTTATATAACACTAGTTTGTGTGTGTACCATTTATTTGCGAAACTAGTAGGATTTGAATCCATCGTATTATCACTACCAGATAATGAATGCTTAATTTAGAAATCAAAAATAAGGTGCATTAGTTTATTGACCATTTGATAGTCGAGAGTATATATATTGTAGATCGTGCATTTATGGAATGCTATTAAGAATTCACGTGACTAATAGTAATAGTAATATAGTCCTAATATATATTTGCTAGTTACATTCCTATTTACATTATTATGTTGATTGAAATACTATTATTACTGTCTTCTTCTTTGAACATGTCTACAATTTCTGTAATAATATGACCGTCATCTATAATTTCATAAACTACGTCTTCTTCAGGAATTGACAGAATCGTTTCAATTTTCATAGACTTTGATAGATGAAGGCTTTCCAAAGATCTTCAGAGACCGAATCTTCAACAGCATGGATATTCTCCGAAAGATTTGATTAATACTGACGGGAAGAATTCCGGTATGATGCCAGCATTGACGGGTGGTTTCATCTGTAACTTCGTCCCATGCCTTAATAATAAATTGGATGGCTTGCAATACGTTTATTTTTAAATGTTGTATCTGCCACCCAGATTCAACTTGCTCCAGCAACCAACTATGAATAGGACTAACGTTAACGCTAATCTCCTAATACAAAATAATATAAAGTCAAGAATAATATCTTACCGAATCTGGTAACGACGGTAATGTCTTTTAAATGCCAGCATCCATTGGTTTCGCAGTTCGGTGGCAAAAAGTGGATGTCAACATGTTGAAGCATTAAACCCTATGACTTGGGCAATTATCGATAAGTAATAATGCGCGATTATTTCGGCAACTTGCTTATCAAATTGTTGAACCCATTCCTGAAAGAGAGATGTAAGCATCCAAGCCTTGTTATTATTCCGATACATTATTGGCAAGTTACGAAGGTTAACATTATCAAAACATCGCGGTTTTGCGTATTTGCCAACAATAAGGGGATTTAGAGATCCATCAGCGTTTGCGCAAAACGCAATGGAAAGATGTTCTTTGTCTTTTTTATGACCTTCAAGACGCTTAGTAGCCAGCATTTAATCGGGTTCCAGTCTAGAAAAAGTTTGTATGAGAATTTATGTTGTAAAACACTCACAGAGAATCATAATTTACCGATAAAAAGCCCGTATCATCCATGTTATAAATTCGCTCAGGGGGATAATTACTACATATACGTACGTACGTGTATTATGCAGTTGTGGTAGAGCCTCAGCAACAATGGTTAGGTTAACAGATGCTCCTTCTCCGTGAAGTTTTACTTGGTGAATATTGTTGCGATCTTTGAATTTATGGAACCATCCAACGGAAACATTTTCAGTTGACTCGCCAGCATCTTAGCGCGCAGGATTAAAATAGCACCACTTGATGCTGACGCATCAGAACAAATTCTTTAAGAGCTTGCTCAAGTTGCGGATACGTAACTAATCTATGTCTTTTTGTGTTTGGTGTAGTAACATCATTAGACAGCCACACATCTTTTGAAAAATTCGGGTTATAATAGATTCGTTAACTCTGACTCCCCATTTATTCTCAATCAAATTAACATACTCTAACCGAGGTTTTGGATTATTTTGTAATTGAGCATACAGACACGTTCGCGCTTTTGAGCATCTGTCAAAGTAATCTTTATGGCCTGATGTGCGATCTGCGTTGTACGATGGCCTGAATTATGGAATAATGCAAAGTCTGGTTACAATTCGTACCAAGTTTGGTAATTTTTGATAATCAATGTCACATGAGTGCGTTTACAAAATTATTTTTCATATAGCAAATAAATGGTACACACACAAACTAGTGTTATACGGTACTAATGTTATGACCCGTTCTAGGATTTGACCCGTTCTGAGAACGGGACAAAAATTGTTGCTTTGCAAAATGTGATAATCTACAGAAAATTTTTTATCACAGTGATACGCATAGCATACTATTCACAATAATACTAACTATGTTCATTCTAATAACACGTTTGATATTAAATGTATGGGCATCACGCAAAGCCATTCTGACCAAGGAATCGATTGAAATTCTTGCGGTCAGATAAAGTATAAACACTGAGTGCAAACGTTCAGTATAATGCATATAGGCGAAACGAAAATACTATTACTCAAAAAAGCGTGCGTTAGAGAGGATATGTATGATGCAATCGGTTCTGTTCATGAAAACTTGCAACACGCTGGGTACGGAAAGACATTCGACGAGCTCAAGGAACGATACAGCTACATTCCTAGAAAATTAGTTGTCGCCTTTGTCAATGCATGTAGCTTCTGTACAAGTCGATGGCCAATGTTGACCAATATCTGCAAGCCCATTATTGCCATGAATTTATGTCGCGGGTTCAAATGAACTTGATCGATCTGAGAATTCAGCCGGATGGTGACTACAAATGCATACGTAAATCATGCCAGAGATTATTTCCTGAGCAAGTGCAAATCCAAGATATAAACATTGGGTACTGCAAGCGTTCAGTATAATGCAAATTGGCGAAACGAATGTGTGATAGAGAGAATATGTGCGATGTAATCTGTTTTATACAATGTGTATTCAGCGTTAACAAATAACTGCTAGTTGATAAAAGCGTTAACTAATTAAAAACTTTATTATTATGTTGTTCATATTAAATAAATTGGTGTTTATTATATTATTTACATCATTATGAAGTGATATAATGGCTGTTTGACATATGCGTCAAACCAATTGCGTTAAGTAAAGAAAAAAGCTTGTTATACATATTTGGTATAGTCTACAAAATATCTGTTTAGTGTGTGTTACAGTGATAAAAAAATTTTCGTAGATTATCACAAATTTGCAAAAACCGAAATTGGGGTCTCATAACAAACATAGTAATGGGGCAAGCCCCTTATAAAATTTACATATGGAGTTTCTTCTGCAGATCTCTTACAGATCATTTTAAACGTATAATCTTCAAATCGATAAGGTTTTTGAAGGAAGCAAGCTAACGCTGTGGCAATATATGCTCTTTAAACTGACAGCCGCATTTTTTTTCTACTCTTACAAAAAAGTTATGAATAAATAAGTTTTAACAATAAAAACTTACATTTACCGTGAATAAGAGCCACCTTCATCAGGGGGCTCTTATTTGGTTGCGCCTTAAAAACAATGCAAAATGATCTACGAATCGTCACGTAACAATTGTCCACGTTATCTCTGTTTATTACATAATCACGAATTACAGTATATTTAATATAAATAAAGTAATATATCATAACATTACAGCCCTTATTCACGATAGTTTACGGTACGTCAAGTAAATCGAAAAATCGGCTGCTTACATTTGTTTGCCCACTGACGTTATACCTATCAAAAGTCACGGGGCACCCCCAAAATTTACTAGTAAAAAACAAAAAACTCTCCGGCACATGTGTACTATACGACGGATAATATTTTTTTTTTGTATGGTTCGGAAGCTAATTGATTGTGCTTTTCCAAAAAATTAACAAAAAAAATTTTTTTTAATATTATCGTTATAAAAACGAAGTGTGCGTATACGTGCTATACATATATAATTATAGATTTTCATATCGTGATTTAAAGACAGCTACTTCAACTTGCTACCACTTTATAACGATAATAATAATATAAAAAAATTTTTTTGTTAATTTTTTTTTGGAAAATCACAATCAATTAGCTTCTGAACCATACAAAAAAAATATTATCCGTCGTATAGTACACATGTGCCTGAGAGATTTTTGAAAAGAAAGACATTCCATCTTTTTTTACTAGTAAATTTTGGGGATGCCCTGTGACTTTTGATAGGCCACTGTGACATGCGCACGTTATTAAAATTTCCCATGGAAATTGCAGGTGGCTGTGCACTTCTCTTTCAACGTGACTAGGGGAAAACAAAGCAGAAAACGAAAGGAGGGACGAGAGAGAAAACAAAGGGAAGAACAAGAGAAAAAACGAAAGGAAGAACAAGAGGAAAAACGAGTTCAACAAGCAACTGCAGCTGCAAGCACAAGCAAACAAGAGATGTCTGATGTCCAGTTGTTTGATTCTGTTCAAATAGAGACTGAGGTAGATATTACTAGCCTGTTTTGGATGCTCAGAAAGTTCCTTTGTGTTGTACAGTTTATGTGTGGACTTGTTTGTTTGCTGGTTACTTATTTTATACTTGCATATGCAGAAGGAGGCTCAGGCCACTACATCTGGAACTTCTGCCACCCATGGTCCAATTAAATTGTTCTGTCTTTTTTATGGTGATGACATTGAAAATGCATTTCCAGTTTCTGCTGACAAGAATGAAACCATTGGAGATCTCAAGCAAACCATCAAGGTGGAGCAGCCAGGAATGTTTGCTAATGTTAATGCAAAAGATCTTGTAATGTGGAGAGTTAATATTCCTGATACTGAGGATAATGAGAAAAAGATTGAGCAACTTCGAAACAATGAGAAAACCATTGAAGAGTTAGGTGGCATCAAGATAAAATATATGACAAAGCGAGTTGGAGAGATGTTTGGTACTCCCACTTCAGGATCCATCCACATTGTTGTCAAGTGTCACAGTAAGTAGTGTGATATTGTTATTGATTAATTCTTAGCCACTTGCTTGTGACATCAACTAATTAATTCACATGCCATCTGCCTTACATATCTATATCCAGGTGTTACCAGACCAGGTAACAACTTCATGACTCAGTGTTGAGGCATGGAGTAGAGCATAGCAAATTTGAAATTATCAGATGATGATTATGGCTAGCCAGTGCTTTTTCCTTTTCCTTTCCACACTATCTTATGCCTGTTTCCCCATTTCTTGTTTTAAATTTTTAGAGGATTCTTTCCAAGTCAGAGTCAAACGTATGAGAGAAGAAGGACTACGCATCAAAGGGAACTGGAGAAAAAGACCTGCAATGGAAATCTCTGTCACAAAGTCTTTTCAAGATCAGAAAGGTAATGACCATTTTGCTACCTATTTGCTTGTGTCATTTATTTCACTCACATATACAATGATTATAGAGGTTGCACGATTTAGTTATGGTGTACAGTCCTATGAGACTATTCTTCAAAGCAATCTCTTTTTTGTTGCACATATGAAATTGTTCATGGATCCACCAAGCCAATGCCTTTTCCTTTGTCGACCAAAACGTCATGGAAAAACACTCCTGTGCTCTCTGGCACAATGTTTCTATGACACAAGGAATGCACTTTATTTTGACAAAATGTTCCCTGGCATCAATTCTGATCTTTTCACCCCATGCCCTTGTTCTTTCATGGTGCTTTCACTGAATTTTTCTGCACTTCAACCAAATGACACTTCCTTGTGTGACTGTGGCTCTGAGTTTGAGCAGAATTTTCAAAACCAACTGTGAGGTGCTTTGATTATGTTCTGTGAATGTTATGAACTGGATTTTCCTGTTTCAGTGTCCAAAGATGTCATTACACTGTTTGTGGAATTGGTGGGTTTACTGGAGGTACTGAACAGCCCGGTAAGTGACATGAACTTAATTGGTATTAATATGTAAAGAATGCAAATCTAACTATCATGAAACAGATTATGATCATAGTTGATGAGTATGATTCTTCAGTCAACCCTGCTTTGCTGTTTCCAGAAGCAGAGCCATATCGAAAATATCTTCAACAACAAGGTTCTGTGTACTTCCGCTTTTTCACAGTACTCAAACAAGCCCTTGCAGTTCCCAGAAATCGTGCACTGATTGTTGGGGTTGCTCCTCTAGCCATTGCTGACTTCACTAGTGGATTTAATGTTGCCTTAGATATGACATGGAATTCACAATACCAGGATGTGTGTGGTATCTTGGTTGATGATATCCAGCCTGTTCTCCAGAGTATTGGACACAAGTATAACTGGGATGTGATGAAGACAAAAGAAGTCTCTGACATGTTGATTAATTTCTATGATGGCTACCATTTTGGTGGTGATTTAAGTGTTTTCAATGGTGGACAAATAGTCAATTGTTTGCAGCATCTCCTCCAGAAAGGCACATTCCCAGAAAGTCTGGTTGATATCAACACTAATCTCTCAGAGAGTGTGCTGCAATTTCTGTCAAAGGGTCAGAATGATAAATTTTATCTGCTTCTTCTACAACTCCTCACAAAGCCAGTCCCATTTAAGCTGTCCACAGCCTTTGTCATTAATGAGGTAAGGAAGGAATTGAATGATGGAAAGCCTAATACACTCCTCTCTTTGATGGTATACTATGGAGCACTGACAGTAGTTGGGGTTGATGAGGTAAGTAAGATATATGTTATGTGTACAGTGGTCATAATCATTGTCATAATAATAATGTAACCTTGGTGTTTCTGCAGCAAATATATGCCAAAATCCCCAATCGAGTGGCTCGTGAAGTGTTTGTTCAGCAATTGTTGCAAAACCTGCAGAAACTTAATTTAGGAGAACAAGCACAAGTTTCTGCTGCAGTGGGTTCATTTCTCGATGAGCTTGATGTGGCTCCTCTTGTCAAGCTGCTTTTGGATAGCTCACTGCTTCCCAAAGAGGATTATGGTGATGTTGTTCATTCTGTGGAGTCAACACTTAAAACCCGCTTTCAAGCTCTTATCCTGGCTGGCCTTGCTGAGGATGTGAGACATCAACTGATAAATGAATTCTGCTTTGACAAATCTGATGTCTTTCTTGGCCAAGCAGACACTGTCATGATTCCTCCCCATGCTTCAAGTTTAGACCCTGTGCTATTGATTGAATTCAAGAACTCCCACATCAGTGATTTGGAGGGTATGCCACCAAATTGGCAAAAGCAAGTTGAGAAGTCTCAAGAGTTTCTCGATTACAGTGAAAGTGAGCTTAAAGATCTGCGATTGAAGTTCTCTGGGTACAACCATTTCAGAACTATTGAAGAACAGTGGAATAATGCACACAAAGAACTGCTAACAAATGCAAAAAAGCTCAAAAATAATTTTTCTGGTAAAACAATTATTGGATTTGTGATATACCAAATTGGTCTTCACCGAATATTGTTTGAACGCTATGATAATCTGTAGATGCATAAACTGTTTGATTGAGATCCATCTTAAAATCTATTCATATAACTCCTATTTATACTAGGAAAGGAATATTTGGTTTTCTGTTAAAGAAACAATGATATTTCTGGTTGTGATGAGAAGTATATACCAAGAATGTGCTATTACTATTACCTGAAAGAAAAATAAAATTAGCAGTTGAATCAAAAATGATTTTAAAATATTCACCAGAAGAAATAATAATAAGTGCTCAAATTAAGTAGCAACAAGACAAAGGAAGAGGAAATAGAAAAGAGGTTGAAAAATTCCAATTGACTATGTTCTAACATGCACTATTGTTTGTGAAGCAACTGATGACTTTTATCAGCTTAATTGTCATCATATTATTAGCTCAAAGGCTCTTTTATCATTAAAAACCTTGAAGTGAAATTAGAAAGGATAAAATGTATTATTTGTCACAACAAACACCATTTTACAGATACTGATCATCAAGACATTTATAATACCGGAAACAATACAGATGCAAAAATATTTGATGAGCATGATAAACTTAAAAAACAAAAAAGAACAAGGACAGAACAAGAAAGTATGACTCTGAATTTACCTTGAGTTCAATTTGGAAATCATTAACAGTATCAAATATAAATAAATTGTCAAAACTGCTTATTAATATTGTTGTATGACGGCGGTGTTATTGTTATTGTTGTTATTAGGTATGATCGTATATTATTAAGCACGTTGCTGGGATTTCATCGATAATCGTTTGTACAACTGATTAAGTTCGACGCTGTAAACTTGAATAAGTTCAGCATATGCCGAAAGCTAGAAATTACCAGACTGAATTTCTACCATTAGAGAAGACATTAGAGGTCATAGTAAACGCCAGTTGAATATTTCCAATCGTAAGTTTATTAGTTGTTTTCCATCGTATTTATTCGACCCTATAAGTATTATTCCACCGTAAGAGTTATTCCATTATTCCGTTGTCAACCAAATCCTATAGTGGAAAATGTGCAGAAACTATTCGACCTTTGGTTGTTGATATATCTAAATTGCTACTGCGGTATAGCTATTCCCAAATCTAAATGGTCCATAGCTATTGCTAACATATTGATTACGTCACTAAATTTACGCCAGATATTTACACGTTTGTGTAATACAATGAGAATATCACCGGTCAAATTTGGACATAAAGGTGACCGAACGTAACAGCAACACGTTCTAATAATATTAATCGTAAATCGCTAATTAAATTCGTCGTATAACAATATTAATATAGGCAAAGGGAGTTGGAAAAGGCTTTGAATGTCTGTCTATACACAAATATTACAAGTTGATCCCACAAACTATATGGCACTGGCAAGGATCAAGTTAATAATGAACAATTTTGGAAAGCCCTGTTTGATATTGAGACAGCAATTGAAGTAAACAAAGTTTATTATTATTATAATGCTTGGTATTTAAGTTTAGTAGCACATGTAGGTTTAGTGAATAAGAAAGAAGTTGAATAAGATATCAGGCATATTAATATTATAATTAGGCATCTATTTGTGCAAAAACAAAAAAAGGAGCATTTAATGTAATTCATGAATATGTAAACAATTTGATGTGGAATGGTTAAAAATTCTTGTGAATAGTTGTCCTCATCAAGCAATACATAGTAATACAGTGACACCTCTATAAGTGCACGCTCTCCCGGGACTTGACATTGTGTACACTTCTGCACTTATAGGGAGGGTGTGCACTTATAGAACAACGAATAGAAAACCAGAAAACTCTTTATCAAAATTATACTATCACATCGAAGTCAGACTATACTTTAAGAAAAATATGTGTCAATGTTAGTTTGACGCATTGAGCTTGTTTTCCTGACTTCAGCAAACTCCTCAATATTGTAAAGAGGTATATATTTTTCCGCGTTGTCCTGTTGTAAAAGAAAGGCACGTACTATTTCCAAGCTAGCGATTGCTGTGCTAGCGCTATTAACAGGACTTTCCTTACTATCATCTATGTCGTCTACATCCGTAATTGCTTGATCAGTATCCTTAAAGAGATATACAAGTTCGTGGTCGTTGTCGGGAACTTCATAAATATTATTCTCTTCAGGAATGTCGAGCAACTATTTACGACAACTATTTATAGTAATAAACGTTTAGTGATGCAGATAATGGCTTACTAGTAAATGATTTCTGGTTACTATAGTGATAGTGGAGTCCGTTATACTTAATTAAGTATAGGAATAAAATTTGATCGAATCGTCCATTTTTTGCTACTTGTTCCTAATAAATTACAACTTAACATAACGTCAAGTTACTTTTATGGCCCTACTAATTAACTCACTATCAGCAACGGAATTTATTAGCATCGATGAGGATATAGTATATGATAAAGAAATAGCTATTAAAGAAATAATCGATACAGTAAGTTGTGTGGAAGAGGAAAGTAAAAAACTTAGTATTGAGAAGGTGTCTGTTCGTGAAGCGCTTGAATGTTTAACGTTGTTTCAGGATTTTACAAGTCAGAACGACTTAGATGTAGATGCAAGTTTTGTTTGAATTTGGGAAATTAAATTAAAAAAGAAAATTGTTCTTGTTGTGAAAAGCATTGAGCAGACAATTCTTGACGACTTTTTTATATTCGCGCCTTAAAAATAGTAGATTTTCTGTCACATATTATAATCGTAAATTATAAAAATATTACTATGCCTGTTTATGTTATTTCAGAAAAAGCAGCTCTAGTACTAGAAGCTGCACTTAATAAAAGACACACGAAATTATGTTATTTCAGGAAAAAGTAAAGCAACACCATTTAGAAGAATCACATCAAACGTAATAAAAAAAACCAGACTTTGCTTGAACAGAATCCAAACTAATCTCCATCAATAAGCATTTGCAAGAAATGCTTACAGTAGTGGTCATAAGTATCCTACTCCTCCTAATTCAGGACAGGAACGATAACACTTTTCCTGCCCATAGTGTATTACAAGCCATGTTTTTTATCTGTAAAATTTCGGTTCAATTGGATGTCTCCAGCAACTCTTCAAACCCCAAATATTTTACCTTGGGATATATCACATACCACATTCAAAATTTTCGCCATAAAGATCCAAAATTCGTATCTTAACACTTTTTTAACCAAATTTCGTAATCCTTTCTTTTTCTGCACCCATCAAAAGGCGTTCATATAATTTTAAGACTAATTATTGTGTAATCGCTATTACAAAATGGAGACAATTATAGGACATGATGATACTGATTATATTATCCGCGTTTATCGCCAAGTATAACAACGATTTCCTTCCAATGCGACTACACATCCAAAAACGCGTAAGTACTGATTTGACAAACAAAAATAGATTAAAACTTGTGGAATATGGATTTTTAAAGTTTATGTTCGAAATAAGCAATATGTTTTTTTCATATGTTATACAGTGTGTTATAAAAGTCTTTGGACAATCAGCAATAAAATTAAAGTCTCACAGTCTCTTCCGACCAATTTATGTTGATATCATAAGAGAACACATTTCTGAAGCTATAAGGTGCTTGGTAAGAAGTAGCAGCTCCAACAAAATCATGATTCTAGACATACAAGTAACATAGTCAAAGAATTCTTTTAAAAATAAGTTTCGACTATTATGGACTACCCTCTAACAGTCTTGATCTAAACCCTATTGAAACTTATTATGATATATAAATGGGATAATATTCTGCTAAATGTTATAAATTAATTAAATTGGGTCAGTACGACTGCTATTAATATTGCGGCCAATTTATTCTAATCATCGTTTCTTTATTAACATTAGTCCAAATGAAGAATTCTCACTGAAAATTTCTTTCTAGTTACATAAGGCGAATGAATACTAAGTTTAACTTTAAAAGACTGACTTTTCTGATTTTATCAGAGTCCTCAATGCACCGAACGCTTTCGCCCCATCCTTTTCCTTTAGCGATTGCACATAAGCAAAATAGAAATAAACCTTTTTCTCGGTTAAGAAGGCTTTTCGCGAATGTGGAGTTACAGGTGGTTTGGACTCTTGTGTCTGTCGAGTTGTGTTTAAAATATGGAATATGCTATATATTTCTGACAACGCCGCAAGCACATTGTCAACATCGGCCAACAATGTATTGATATCATTGAGTAAGATTAGAGTGAATTCGTGTGATTCCATATGTTTCTGAAGTACCAATAAAAAAGAGTCAGCTCGAATGAGACGCATAAAAAAATCGTGTCTGATACTAGCGAAATGATGCCGAACCTGCCGAGAAAGTTGTATGCTCGCAGTCAAAGCTTCAGAAACGGTTTCGTAGACAATAGCTTCATTCAATGCAAGCACAGGTGACAGGCTCCATATGAGATTGCATGTCTCATGCGCGTTTTCGGTTAATTCGCCATTCAAATACCGACAACTATAAGCGTAGGCATATCTGATATATATTTAAAGACATTGTAAACGACTTTGGATATGGATTGTGAGAATAGAAGTAAATATAAAAGCAAAGGATACAATACGTTCAAAAGATTGAAAATAATCTTTGGATTGGGTGGCTTGTTAGTCAATTCTTCAAGTTTCTTAGTGACTTTCATGATTTTTGGTAGCGATATGTCCTTGTCTACGGGCAAGCTCTCATCTAACTCTATGATCACTGGTTTTTGAACTGTTTCATCATTCAGACAAGATTGTTCCCACCATGGTTTCCATAAATGTATTTCCTGTAAAAGCACACTCGGTCTGTCTGATACAAGTTTTTCAAATTCTGTGCGCTCTTGATCTGTCAAATTATTCCAGATTGATTCATATGATGCTGATTCTAATATAGTAATCCATAGCAGAATAATCTTTGCATTAGTCAACGGTGTCTTTGTGTCTAAAACTTGCAAATTACTTAACAACGAAAGAAGAATTCTCACCTATGTCCACAGATCGAAATCTTTCAACAAAATCATTGGCATTAGTTTCTAATATATGAATAGGCAAGTCATCAAGATGTTTACACTGGATGAAAGAGCTGTCAATTCGTTTTCAAACCAAACTTACCCTCTTCTTCATCATCACTAATATCCTCCCGCCCTACCCTTCTTAAAAGCTCTAAAATCTTCTTCTTCTCTTCGTTGCTAACTCTCCGATTACTAATTTCTTGTAAGATGCTATCCTTGTAAAAAGACTCTGTGCACTGTAAATGACGCTGGGAATACAGAATGGCAAACGGAGAGTTGTTAAGATGTTACTCCTAGAAACAGAGCAAACGTTGTCTTCGTTACCAACCTCATTCTTGTAACATTCTAATGAACAATATCGCAAATTACATTTTGGGCAAGTGTACTTTGCGGTTTGCTTTCTGCAACTGCGGTTATACCAGTCTTTTCAATCAGTAAATCAATCAATTGTGACAATACATGAAAGATAAAGTCGTCGTATGATTAATTACATGCCACAAAATTGTGGATTTTGTTCGATCAAGCTCCCCTCAGAATCGTGGGTTACAATTTGCGTAGTCATGAGAAAAACAAAATCATAAAATTCCGTGATGATCGATCATCGGTAAATATACATTTGACGAATGGCCACAAACAGGCTAGACTTTGATGATAATAACAAAGGCAGTCTTCATTCACTGCTCACGCTAAATTCCATTAAAGAGTCTAGAGTTGTTGATGAGAAGGCTCTTGAAGAATTATTTGCTGAAAATGATAAAGACATAGCGGCTCTAGCACAGCAAACTCGACAGGCATTGGCAGAAGAATTTTCTGGTTACCAATATGTAGAAATTCAACCGAAACCAGGATTTGTAATAAAGACGCATACTGTAGCAAAAACCGACAAATATCCTGCGAGCATGAAAGTGTTTATAAATGTTTGTTATTCGGAAAAGATTACTGCTCCGATGCAAGTTCCCGAAGATGAGATTCAGAAAGCTGTCAAAGGAGAGGAATCTACTTACACTGTACCTATGGTTGTTAGCGAACTGAGAGAAGATAAAGATAAAGGTAATGTATACTCTAGTTTTGAAATAATATTTCAATTGTTGAAGAATCGGGGAAGTAATTTTGTTTACCTCCCAACACAGCTCAGAGGCCATGTCTCGTGTGTGATGCTGTTATTCACTTAAAGCCAATGAAAAGATCTAAGGAAGACGACAACTACAAAATATTTTTAACTGAATTGGCGCTTGCAATATTTGAAGAAAAGTTCAAAATGGAGTTAAGTCGAAGTATGTAATAACGAAGCTTGTATTTCAGTTACACGTATAAAAAAACCACTGACTGCAACTGTATAATCAATCAGGTTTGTCGTTTCCTAAATTATATTCTCAAGGACCATTGAATCCAAGAAGAGTGCCTATCCCTAAAGTGACAGAGGTAGCTTCAAAGAAACTTGACAAGTCGAATGCTACCCAAACACTTCCAAGACCAGACTTTAAGATAACTGAGAGTAAACAAAATAATACTGATACGGTCATTATGGCGATTCAGACACCATTGCAGGTACTAGTACGTGATTGTTAATATTATAAGGAAAGGTTTGGATGATATTTTCTCACTTGCAAATTAATTTATTAACTACAGGAGTCAATAGGAAATGCAACAGTTGACGTTGAATCTTTGCGAATAATCTTCCATTCGCCGGGGAAATATTATCTGGACGAAATACTTCCATTTCCTATCGATATAGAGTCAGCAAATGCTCGATTCATAAAACCCAAAAGAACATTAAAAATTAGAGCTAAAAGGTCAAGATAAGGACATACTAATTATGGAGATTAACTATAGTATGTGTAACATCGATGTGTCACATGTTGATATTTTTTTCCATGACCAAGCTCTTCTCCAAATACAAACACGAATACATTAATATTATTGCTAGGTTGCAAAAAGTAAACACGATGTCTGCTAAGTTACCGCAGGTATATAAGCAACAACCATCGACTTTAGTGTTCTATTGGAAATTAACTCTATTTTAACTAATTTTAAGAAACGGTACTATCGTCAACGTGCACATTCAAATCCTTTTTCAGATCATCAACTTGAATAGTAAAGATGCCTTGTTTCATTTTAGACTGAAATATTTCATCAATTGTGTATAATTACTTATAATGATCTATGTAGTCCATTAAGCCCTTCCCATATGGATTGGTCAAAGCATTATCCAGCATTCTTTCCTGCCGACAACCAGGATAGTGCAGACGCAAGGGGCAAAAAAAAAGTCGAATTTGCTGATCTTGGTTGCGGATATGGTGGATTACTTGTTGCACTATCACCACTCTATCCAAATACCCTCATGTTAGGTGCCTAAATTATTTCCTAAAAAACCCGGATCGGTCATTATTAGAATGATACTGAGTGACATTATTTTGTATCAGGGATGGAAATTCGTGTAAAAGTAGAAGAATATGTTTATGAGAGAATACAGGCATTGCGAAAACAGAATCCGAAGCAATATGAGAATATATCTATAATCAGAATGAACGCTATGAAATTCCTACCAAATTTCTTTGAAAAAGGACAGGTTGGTACAATACACATATATATAAACTAAACATGTAAAGGTAAAATATAATTAAAGAAAAAGACAAATTTGTTTCTTAATGCAGCTGTCCAAGTTATTCTTCCTATTTCCAGACCCACATTTCAAAAAGAAAAAACATAAAGCAAGAATCATATCGTAAGCGAAATTGATCTTATTTCCCAAATTGAAGTACAAGAGTTAATTTTTTTTCAATGCCTGGCATAAAATTTCAAATAAAATTCTTTTATAAAGACATGGACTTTTGGCAGAATATGCATATATTCTGCAAGAAGGAGGGATAATCTACACTATAACAGATGTCAGAGACCTACATGATTGGATGGTCAAGTGCCTTGATGAGCATCCTTTATTTGAAAGAATTTCTGATGAAGAGGCAGTAAGTAAATATATTGTGCAAAAAGAATAATATTAGATAAATTTATTAATCTTATTATTATTTAATTACAAAAGGAAAAGGATCCGGTCGTACCATATGTAAGAACTGCAACGGAAGAAGGAAAGAAAGTGGAAAGAAATAATGGAGATAAGTTCTTGGCATGTTACAGGAGAATCAAAGATGAAGAAGAACTAGTTTGATGAATCTGCTTGTAAGAACACACAAATACATGCGTTCGGTCAAATCACATGTACTAGAAGTCTGCGGGTTTCAACATTGTCGTGTACTAAACCATTTTTATTATGAATTTCTACATTCGAGAAAAAAAAAGTACCTTTTTTTTAACCGGATCTCATCATCACTTACATTGTGTATTCACAGTTTCTACTATTGACTGGAGTGGTTCGTCGACTACATTGCTTGCTTATATATTTTTATCAGCCGTGATTGGTTCAACATTTGCTGTTGGCTTCTCTGTATTATGAACCTCCTTATGTCTGGTCCGCGATGATTCCTTCTTTTTCCTTCCAGATTTTGTAGTGAAATACTAGAAGAAAAGTTTACTACCTTTTTAGCATATATAGGCTTGTTTTCTGGATATGCACCGGCATCTTCATACCTGCTCGCGAAATAGATAATGGCCAGGTTTTCTCGTGTCACTATTACCATCTGGTTTGCCCTTCTTTTGATCATTCATGACAGCAGTTAAACTATCCAAGGATTGAGCATTAACAACAGCATACTCCCCCGATACGTTATCCTTGAACTTTTCCATGGTTATCAATCTGCGACTCCATGACCCAAAGTTTTGCTCACTGTTCGAGATCAGCCTCAGACACGGGTGAGATGGAACGTCCGAGTCTGAATATCTAAAATGGTACTGAATTAATACACGTGACTTTAACAAATCAATTTAGACCGGATTAACTCACTCGTCTACTATGGTTGGCAGCCAATATACTAGCCGACCACCGATAACTAAGAATTTTGCAGCAAACTCTATGAGATCGGTAAGAACTTGTGACATTTCATATGGCTTCTTTGGTGGAACATAATCGTCGTCTCTTGATTAATTAATTGGATAATGTTATTAAACCAATATTGACATTAAATCGACATACTGTCCGTTTAAAGTTACATACACCATCGGAGAACTTCCTTCGAGCAGCCTTGTCGGTTTCTTTGTCGGATCCTTCCTACCTAGAGTCTTTGCGCCAGCTCTTACACCATATGGAGCTAAAGATGTAGAATATTAATAAAATTATTGATTCATATTCAACATTTATGTCTACTTACGATCAGTCACGATGGCGTCAAACCACGGTTCCTCTCTAAATGGATGATGACAAATGTCAAACACCAATGTATCAAGGACTCTTCCTTCCACCCGATATTGCTCGATATTAGATTGAATAGATCTATTTTCTGACACAATATGGATGTGCATATATTAGTATATAATCCTGCTACTTTCTTGTGCATTAAGAAGGATTCAGAAGATTAAATATTTACTTTGACCGCGTATTTGTCGTCCATCAATATCAGATCCGAGAGTCAGAGCACCAAAATGTGCACATGTGACTAAAAAGCTACCAGTACCCACAAATGGGTCATATATTAGTTTATTAGGAGCTGCCTATAATAGAACGTGTTAGTACAAATCATAACAAGAAAGCATTATTATCAAGATCGCATACCAACGCCTGGTTTGCCATGATTAAAGATAACTCAGCATCCATGGTAGTATTTCCAATATATTTTCTCTTTTTCACATTGAACTTTTGGATAAGTTCACGATTTCCTGATCCAATCTAGTCAATAATTGCATTATTACATATGTACCGATAATATCACAAAGTCCAGTTATGTTTTCCGTACTTACCAATCTTCCAAAATATATATAACGTGGTATTGAAGGCGGTAAAGGAGCATGTGGATCCATACCATAATCTTCTAAAACACCAAACTGGATCTCAGGACTGTTCAGATCTATTGGACCTTTGAATCCTAAATAAGCAAAAGAGTCGATAATATCCAATTGATAGTTGGCCGAACATGTAGATCCAAATGCCGAGACAATGAATTTAAAGGAATTCCATTCGTATGTGGGCTAATGATATCCGACGAAATTCATGTGAGGGAAAAAAAAAAGATATACACAGTACGCAAGAAAAAGCGATTAATTTACCCATTGTTCGGGATGAGCTTTCACTTGAGAATGAACTTCTTCATATGTGGAACCGGATCCCCAAAGCTCAAAGATATTTCTATAAATTTTAATAATATTGGCACGTTGACTAAAATTTAGAGAAATTGAGAACTTGATGCATAATATCATACTTGATCAATATAGCCCGTTTGACAAGACGCGCTGCTTGTTCTTCAGTTTCGGTTTTGACAATAAGAAAAGGACACTAAGAAGGTTAGATTTATCTGTTCGATGAACTCAAGTGCGTTCATGTATAACTTACATTCTTTTTATATGTATTCACGTCATATGAAAGCGCAATGTTCTCTATTTTGGCCAGAGACTCGAGTTCCGGGATACGGAATTCCTCATGGGCTAATTTAAATTTGGTCAACAATAGTTGTCAAATTTGAGAATATAACATTCGAGATGGGGTTTATATCTTACATTGAGCAAATTGAATAAGATAAGTTGACATTTCAAGTAATAAACTACAATATGCAGTTAAGCCAAATAATTTTTGCTTTACATTTAGGCGAATGGTAACACATGTTCACGTGAAACTATAATCCAATCATATCAATCATAAGATACTATAGAATTTATTAATCAATTGGTAGGTCAAGCATAACTTTACTTGTTATCTGAATCTTTCTTTCGTTTGCTTTTATGTGAAAGAAAAGGCTGATTGAAGACCTCTGTCAATCTTTTCACCTGAAATAAACGCACAGAACCCGTTATAATGAGGCAACCGCGATCTTCGATGAGACAGCAAAGAGTCTCCTACCTTGTACTCGCCAAATCCAGGACACTGTGCAACATCCTCTTCGGATGCAGCCATAATTCGCTTCAACGAACCGAACGTAGATACCAAAGTAACAACGTCGGTCTTGTTCACAGATCTCACCTGAGTCAAGCAATGTGTCAACTTTGCAAAATAGTCATTCTCCACTCTCTCCATAATCAGATCTGGCGGTTTATGCTCAAACGCTTTATACGTCTCCAGATATCTTCCAGCTTCTTCTTGACTCCAGGCTAGCATCATAGCAAAGTTGTTTGTTATACACGTCTTTGTAAGTTCGCGAATGGCTTCTTGATGATTATCGATATCGACAAGAACAAGTAATATGCGGAGTTGAAACTGATGGGCGAGCTTTTGGATGCGTGTATAAACGTATTCGGGATGGAGGCGATGATAGCGGAGACTGAGAAAAAGAGCGCACGTTGTCGCACCTAGAACGTAGTCAGGGACTATCTCGCCGTATTCCCATGGTACGTTACGGATATGTTGAAGCAGAGGGTTACCTCTCTGTTAACGAAAATGCACATAGAATCAAAAGACGAAAGGATAAGAATTCATATCTTTTAATAAGACAAGCACTTTCTTCACTGATCCGACAGTTTATATAGCAAATTCTTTGCAAATCGTACCTGACATCCATTAACAACAATTGCATTCGAACTGGCCACTCTCTTTCCCAATTCTCTTCCATTTCCTGCGGTGTTTCTATCGTCAATCAAACCACCCTTCTCTAACGCATTCTTGGCAGACGTGGTAATATGCTCAAACCGTACAGGACCTAATAATATTCCGCCAAACCATCTCGATACTACAACTGCTGCATTCTTCACGTCCAGGTTTCTTATAAAAGTTAACAGTTTGTTCCCAGCGAATTGTTCCCCATCATCGTCACAATCTTCCAAAACAGATCCATCCGTGTTGACAACTCGGTATGCGAGTATGTTGTGCGTAGCACCCTTATCGGATGATTTTATTTTCTTGTGAAAAGAGAGAGCTTCTTGTTTCGAAATTACACGTGTCGCGTGACCAGTGAAGAGGCTTTTACGGTCCTTTATTATGTCACTGTGGTAAATTGTCAGAGTCGAGGACTGGTTCGGTGACGAGGATGATGGTGTATCCGACATAAATCTGGTTATTATTATGTTTGTTGCTGATCATTTACTATTACTATATTAATATGCAATATTTGTATGCTGCGGATACAATAGCAAGACACTACTATTACTATTACTATATTAATTAATATATTATCGTTATTGGAATCCTCATGCATAAATAAAATAGGCAGGTTCAAGTAACAACCACGAGCATAGTAGATACATAGGCGATAAAGCATATTTCGAATATTTATTTTAATAGTTCACAGTATTTACTAATAGCAATAAAACCCAGATTCAAAATAGTCTGAGCATCTTGCATACAAACAACCCAGAAACAATAGCTACATATCCAATTAAAATTTTCTTTATCATTTTACTTAACTGATACGTTAACGCTTTGTAAATTGTGAACATTCTTTTTCTCAGATCACTCGAGGAATCGACAGTGATTATTTTACGTTCTTCTTTCATCACCTCCGTCCCACTTATTCTATTTAATCTTCTCACAGTCACCAAGTTTTCTTTAGGTTCACTCTTGAATATCGCCATCCGTTCCGAGGCCGTCTCGTCCCCAAGTATTGCCTGAAAATAGACTAGATCTATTAACAACACCATGATCCCCAAGAAATGACATTGTTTTGTCGTAGATAAAGCAGAACGCTTTATAGCTCAGACGTGCAATTGTAACCCAAAACGCGATAAAGAGTGATGCGAAGAAGGCAAACGCTGCAAATGGCCCAAGGAGAAGGAATCCGGAACCGACAAGGAAGCAGTTGGTTATCGTCCAAATAACAATACCTATTTATATGCACAATGTATAACAGTCAATTCATCATCCAATTTTTTTTTTTAATCTCGACTTGTACTTACCAGCAGCACTAGTGACAAGCAAACTACCAGCACTCCATGAAAGCCAAATTAACACGGGTACGACAAACAGTAAAGAAAAGGCAGTCGTAAAATCGGACAACAACTGGTATCTTCTTGCTCGTTCGTATGTATGCTTGGTAAATCGTTGAAACCATGAAGGAGTTTTCTGAAATGCCAACTCGGCGCGCTTCCTCGTGCGTTCAACAATGGGGTTGATGGTTTGCTTTGTTTTCCTGGTCTTTTCTGACAACATTTCTGGAACATCGCGAGACAGTTGATCCATGGTTGATTGCATCGAATAGGCTTGTGTAATAGATTTAAAACTGTGGAAACAGAATTAATCGGTCGGTTGGGTGTTATATAGCAGTTGTCGGAGGAGAATGATGATGATATCTTGCAGTTTTCGTGATTCTCTCTTTGATTTGTTTTCGTAGTGATGTGAATTTATTGTCGGAAATCATTTGATATGACGTAAATATGAGGCTGATGATAACCATGAGCCAATTTGTGTGTGTCATCGGTTGTAATGGGCAACTGTTAATACCTCCCAAATATAGTTAAGCTTTAGTCACCAGTGTGATATCACATTCCAAAATAAGTCATCAACAGTACAAAAACAAACACGTAATTTCCATATGCACATTCATTCATACCGACGTGTCGGATACTAATGATTTGAAACTCACCAGAGACAGGCATTAGTAGCAGTTTCAATTACGACGATATTTATCCAATACAGAGTGAATGAATCCTCACAGTAATTTTGTCACATGAAAAAACGGTATGTAATGTGATGACGGTTCGTTGAATGTCTTGTTTGTTTGTGGATTTAGCGGCAGTAAGACAATGTCAGTATAAAGAAGACGCCACGATTAATTACATATGCGCGCTCGATAAATATAAGGCTTTTATGTAATATGACCAATCCCGCCAGCTTTTAAACTCTTCGTGGCATTAAGGATTATTTAAATATTCCCATTCCTTGATGCTATTGGAAAGGCTTGTCTTTGAGATTTGGCAAACTCAATTATTTTCCTATCCCGCTTATTCGTTAGAATTTGCATTATGTTCTCTGGGCACTGTACGCTGTAAATTTGATGCCCGCCCTCAAATTTAAAACGTACCGAGCAAAGCAACGATAAACTCAGAAGCCGGCGTTAGTAAGTTTGGGTTAACATTATTAATACATTACATCTGATGATATAAAGGTTACTTACTTTAAAGTCCGAATCATCGTTATATCATGGAGGAAGAAGTACTAACCAAATAAGGCTAACATATATGATGTCCTAATTATAGAAACCGCGCAAGCCGTAGTTGAATAGTAATAGGTTACACACGTAAAAATATAAGAAATGACAGCGGAAACCCTGACAGATTTGGCAAATAGGTAAGTTAAAGAGGAGATAGGCTCTTGCAAATGAAGTGGGAAGATTTCTTTAGTGTTTGGATAAATTATACATGTCATATAATAAGATTAAAAGAAAACAATTATTTAGATTCTTTGCTTTAAATTTCTTCAACTTTTCGTTTCTTTCTTGGTTCACCATAAGTTGGTGTTAATGCTCGTTTATTGGATTCTATTTTTTGTTATTCTTCTTGATAAATTTCATAAGCGATTTTTTTTTCTTTATCTATAGACGTTCCTCGATCGAGAATTTTGATGCCATTCGTATGATCAATTTTTTCTCCTTGAGCTTCCTTTAAAATGCTTCTAATTTTTGGGTTCCATGGTGGATTTAATGTAAATTAGTTTCATATTTATATTTTATATAGAGATAATCCTATATTACGCATATTTAATATGTAATTTTTAGATAGTAATAGAAGTTTGCTACATAAAATTTGTGTACAGGTTATCGCTGTGATAATCAAAATGTTGTTAGGCGAATTAATTAACTTTCAGCCTCTCATTTATGTCACATAATGAAATGTTCACTTAATGTCTGTACTTCTGGATAGGCTTTATTATTATTGGCAGATAAGAAAATGCAACTACAGATAATTCAACCGCTGGTTACGGAACATTTTTTGACATTTATTATTATTCTATTGTAAGTAACTGACGATAATTCGACTTGTACGTTAATTCGATCGATAACCTCGGAACGCAAGCGGTCGAATTATAGGCAGTTGACTGTACCATTTCACTCATACTCACACACACACACTTTCCATCTCACTTGCAACCACCTTCTCTTCGAGTAACAGAGAGACAAGACTAAAAGATGAACGATTAAAGCCAGGGAAACGTTGTATGATGCCCAAGCAGTTATAATATTTTTTGCGTCACTAAATTAATATGACTATGACGTGATTTTTGAGATTATGAACCGCGATACTCGCAACGATTAGGTAATAGAAAATCGGTCATGTGGATTTCAGCATAGCCGTGACATATATTATTGAAATAGTATTAGGCCACTCAACCAATACATGTTAGACTTGTCTACTTTATGTTTCTTCGATTTTTCGCGTCATCATAAATTTGTGTTAATACTCGCTCATCCCGGTAAATCCGCAATATCAGTATATCTTTGCATGCTCTTGACATGAAAAGGTCATATTTATCGAGTAACTTCATTCGGAGCATTAAATTACAGCATAACAGCCTTTATTGTGAATTTCCTGCCATCTGAATCTTTAGTGATGTTTCTGTTCGAATCGTATTCCACCTAAAATTCAATTCATCAATTAACGTAATAGCTGACTGAACGCAAAAAAACAAAAAACAAAACCGAATGTGACATCAAATCAAGTGCTTACAGTATCCGCATGCGTGTGCTCCAGGTTTATCCTGCAAAGCATTAGATAAATACAAAATCATTAACACAAACAAACAAACAATTACATACCAAATTTATATAAACTCTCGGATGACCCAAACTTCCGCCGTCTACGATTGAATCAAGATTAGACATTAAAAGCGTAAATAATTGCAACGGCTCTTATATATCAATTACCTCCATCGCAAACAGCGGATCGTCCCTCAACATAATGAATTGGCTCCTCCGCGATCAACTCAATTGCGGCTACTGGACGAGGCTATGTTTGATAAAGTAAATGATAATTAACAATTGACCGCTCGCTCAGCATCAGAACATGAAAGAAAGCACCAACCTGGACTTCGAGATCAGTTTGCTCAAACCTCGGCCCAACCAAAGCGTCTGTTCGTTCTCTTTGACTACGAGACCATGGCTCAGCTCGATCCGGTGCTTGCTTGAACACTTCGGCGTCTGTGGAGACAGGTGGAGGCGACTTTACCGGCACATCACTTCCTGAAGAAGACGAATATTTCCGAAAGGAAGAAACAAGAGGAAGGGGTCTCTGGGCAAAAACACTCCTCTGTCCTGAGAGCGACAGGGATCTTGCCAGAAAGGAACGAGTGTTCATTGCGATTTCAAAGAATACAGAGAGGATATTCGAAAATTTGTTCAAGTTATTGTTACACTAGTTACCAAGTTTGGTTACGGTACTATTTAAATTCTTCTAGCCGAGATGCCAACTCGGTAAGAGCTTTTGTAAAGATTCAGTAATACCTTCAACCTAGCGGTGAAGATTACTCATATTGGGGGAAAAGTCTTTCTGAGATCACTCTGTCAGGCTGAGGACTGGGCTCAGATCATACAACAGCATCTTTATTTAATCGTTTTGTGGGGTTGCTTCTATTTGACATGCCAGAGTTCAATTATTTTCTTGTGGATCAACCGGTTTACTCTTGCAAAAATATGCATTTTTCTGGGACTGTTAATGGTAATGTGGAATGTGAAGCTTTACGCTCAATCACGTGCAAGAGTCAACCTTCCCCGCTAAATCAATGCGTATTTTAGGAGATAATGAATAATTTTGCCGCAGCGTGCCCTTGATGTTACACAATAAATACTTAATTATCAAATGTGTTTGTCATTTTCAATCCTCTATTTTCCCAAATGTCACTAAGCAACAATTATGACTTCTCTCTTACCGGAGAATGTCTGATCAAAATGTGCGAAGATGCTTACCTTGCCGGATACCATTCGATAACACTAGTTCTGCATCCTACGACCAAGGTTACAGTAAATACTAGCGAGGATATGCTTGAAAATGGCTTGGAATATGTCCATGTAATACATAATTCAAATCCAATGATAACAACAAGTAGCGATAGACTTTCAGACGAGATTGAATCCGACGATTCGAATGAATCTGATATTACCCAAGGGACAGAATCGCTCAAAGATGAAAAGACTTTTTCAGAGAAAAAATCAGGTACAAATCTTTTGTTCTAAGATGCAAGTTCTGCTAAGTTGTCGATACATTCGGGGTAAACCATACTAATTCTATGTAACGACCGATGATAGAACCATCCGAGTCTAGTCCCCTAAAAATCACCGATATTCTCTTTCTACAACGAAAGGAACAAAAAGAAATTGCAGAACTTTTAACAGATATTCACTCACCCACTAATCAAGCCCCGAGATACAAAGTATCGGAAAGGATTCCAGTCGATCTGCTCAAAGATAAACTGAAAAGAGAATACACATTGACCATGATGCAAACAAGAAATTTTGCACTGGGTGGTCGGAAACCAAAATTATCAACTGATAAAGACATGAAAGCTTATATAAAAGGATTGAAAGCCGCTTATAGATTAGGGGCGGTTTTTGCATTTGCTTTAAGTCATCCAGAACGCATTACTTGGGACGAAATAGTTGAAGCTACGTCTGCACCACCTGACAAATTGCAAAAAGCGATCAAATTCGCAATACGTATTTATGAATTGTTCAAGATTCTAGGCAACGAGGCATTTAACAAGGCTCAGAATATGAGTCTCAACTTTATGAACAGACTAGACGATGAAGAATACAGCGTCTTAATCGAATGCTTAAAAAGCATCAAGAAAACCAAATAATATACACCCGGTTATGGTAAAAAAAGAAAAGACAGTATTGGCAGATAAATACAGGTTAGTGGTTTCTTTGACTGAAAAAAAAAAAAAAAAACTCTCCCACTTTTTTGAATGAGAATGTTTAGATGTTATTTATGACAATCTTACAATGTTTTCCTTTTATATTCACACCTACGATATGAACTGCTCCATAATTCATTACCAATAAATGCTTCTTCAATAGTAAATAGAATTTATTCACAGAACATGTTTCTCGCTTACAACCCAACCCAACCCCTTTTTCTTTATACGGCGGCATGAGGTCAAAACGCCAGTTTATTCACAATGTGGGGACCCGCGATATCACACACGGAGACTGACTGTTTGCATAAGTTAGCATAATTATAGGTGATGATGCGAGAGTCTCACTGTTAATTTTGTACACCAATGCATATAAATAAGTCCCACACCAACAGCTCTTGAAAGCTCACCGGTAAAGTCTGCTTCTCTTTGATCAATGATTATACCAAGCATATTACTCGTTCGACCCTCGCGTTCATGTAATGGCTTTCGTATCGGCTCACAATGTTTATTTGTTCAGACCCCATTATATTCGAGTGCGAGGCTTCTTTTCTGATACTTTGTCAGTTCTGCAATTGCGGCATTATCCGCAGTAGGTACTTCGAACCCAACTGGTCATAGTATTCTAAACCGGATTATATTATTGTTCGACACGAGCTATGTTCTCAAATTCTACTGGAATACCTTAATAGGAAACTTTCAATCCTGGTCTTCACTGACGCAGCCGTAAGTACTTTACTCATATTCAGTGCTTTCTCCTCAAATTGGTAGATATACTCCTGTGATCTTTCGATATTCTTGGCGCGCAACAACAATTGTGATCTGAAATTATACAAGGCCGTAAGGTGCCATGACAGAGAGGGGAAAGCACTTTCCTACTGAAAAGAAGCGAGCGACAGAATGCCCGATTCCGATATCGTTGCCTTTTACTAGTCGCATCCATAGTGTGATAATTAATAATAGACACACAAAGATCCCTGAAATAATATGTATATACCAAGGACCCCGGAAGTTTGCAGGAAGGGCAAATCGGCACTTAGAATAAACACATACTCTATCCCTCGTGAATCAAATTGTACAGGGGGTGAACCTGTCTACCGCTCACAATGCGTTTGCTAACGTTTGATTAAAAAAATATATAGCACGTAACGGTGAACTGATAACTCGAATATCTTAATTCAATTACGTCTGTACATCTCGCGATATGGATCATTTAATGGGAGCGTTGTGTAATTTGGAACCGTTGCAAGAAAAAAGAAAAGGACAAATAAACCAAGTTTGATTAGGAAGATTCTCTCGAGAAAAGCAAAAGCTACGTTACCATGAGAAAAGACGAGAATCTCGCTTAGATAATTGGTCTTTAGTTTATGCCTTTTCTTAATCGTCGGATAAATACATCTTGACGGTAACATCGTATTATCAAATTATTAGTAATTATTGCCTACAAGAATCTGTTGTAGCCATTTAAAGGAAAAATCCGGCTCACAGAAGAGTCATAGCACCCCCTCATCAAATACTTCTTTGCAGGTGTAATTGTGCTTCCCAGCCATATGAACGGTTTTCTCGTCGGAAAATTCATACTATGTACAATAAATAAAACTATTCATGGCGGAGCTGGATTCTTTTTCGCTATTACTTGGAATACCTCATAATCATCAATAGCGAACGCTTCCTTGTTCTTTCGAATGGGCCTTTCATACGACATCCTCTTGGCTGTACAAATAAAATTGTCCTTAGCACTCTCCTTCATCTGCAAATCACTTATCCCAAAAGACGGTCCAAACGAAGGCATGCTATGCACAGCTCTTGTGACTTCTTGTACTCGACTAACTAGTACATTCTGCAAAGTGTCGTCACAAAACGAAAATAGAAAGCTGTCAGATGTTTCCTGCCACTCGTCAAAACCTTGTTTTTTCCATGGAAGAGGATTATAACCGCCAAGTATTTCGAAGGAATCGCGGACCTTTATTATGGTAACGGTATGTGACTGGGCATCGCATCTGTCATGAAAAATGGTGGTAGAAAATCCATCACGACTGCCTCTGAGAAATAACCGAAATTCATAAGGAATCCCAGCGGAAGTATATGGAGTAAAGCCACTGGTTGAGATGTTCTCATCTTTACGATCGATCCAAGAAGAAATGAGTGCTGCATGTCGCCAATCGATGATACTTGATTTCGTTCTCGCGGGAGCAAGCCGAGCTGACGTTAATTGGTTACCGGGAACGAGGTAGTAATGAAGTAAATCCTCGTATTGATCCGTTGGGAGTATCCGTCGAAATGGCTTGACCTTGTTATAAAAGTCTATAGAGTGCATCTGGGAGAAATTAATCAAAGGAACAATTTTATAGAGAGCAGTTCGAAGAACCGTAAAGTCCGAATGTGTCCATTTGCTTATATCTCTTTCCAAATTATGCGTTTGTGAAATCCCCCATCGTAGCATATGATCCCAGATATCGACTTCATCCATTCTAATATCGCTGCGTTTCAGTAACAATAAAAGAACTCTTTCGTCGATATCAAGAAAGTCGTTGGCTTTAAAAACGAGCTCGGGAAATTCCTGCACTATTTGATCACAGTAAGCTTGAAGTTTCTTGAAACTGTCATTGAACGCGGCTGTACGATAAACAAGAGCGAAATTCTTTTTGAGCCATTCATCATTGTTGCTTCGAAGATGGTCCTGAATACAATCGCACAGTTCAGGAAGACATAATTCTTCGGCTGCTATTAGAATATCGAGGATTGTCGCGTTATCCTTTACCAAATCAAAAGACATCCTTCCATTGTAAATGTATCTGTATGTGAACGATTGAGTTAGTAGTAACCGATCGATCGAAAAGATTTTAGCATATTTTTAGGCAATCCCCTCTTAAAAACGGACCTTAAAATAATTTTAAAAACGTCAGGTGATATACTGGGCTTTTTTAATACTATAAGATTATCTTTTTTCTTGGCCCATTCGCTTGACAATGCTTGACGAAAAAATGATGATCGAGCCCTTAATACGACTGAATGCGCTCCCAAGACTTTCATCTCTGATTCTTTTCCAGCATATATCGCAACATTATAATCGTCTGCATCATCAAGAAGGACATCAAAGTCCCGAGATAAGATGTCAATAAGTTCAATGTCAGACATTGCTTTATCAAAAAGTTGGGGGGCGAAGGACGATTGCTGGCTGGCTTATACATCATGCATAGGCGTAAAAGTTGCCATTTTCAGGTAGATATTAATTATACTAATACTGACAAATTTCAGGGGTTAACTCGTTAAGCCACAAAGGGTAGTTATATAAACGCTTATTATTATTGTCACTTGCCGCTTTTATCAACATCTGAAAGCTAATTCGCTTGCTATTCTGGGAATATTTTCTCCACTCACCCCCACAAATGCCTCTAATTCAGTAATGGCACTTGTTTTGCTTATGGGAACTGTTGGCCATTCTCATGAAGAAGCAGCGTTTGTGAGAAGGTTGCTGCCAACAATTTCTACAAAATATTCAGTGCGACAAATTGCATGTGTAAATTGCATGTGTAAACAAGTCTTGTTGACAACGAGCATGGTACACCATACTAATACTGTCGTAATTGAGAGATTTATTGGATGGCATACGCGAAGCAAAGACTTGTGGAGCCTTTGAAACAAAAAGGTCTTGGCGAGAAACTCTTAACGAAAGGCTGCAGGAAGAAATAAAGGGATTTAATGTCATAAGCGGCGATGGGTTACTAATACTAATTATAATTAACTTGAGCGTTAATTTGTCTGTAAAAAGAGAAAGATAACTGATATATAATATTATAATATACTAGATGGCGTGTTACTTATCTGTGCTGCATATTCATTGGCTGAGACGTATACGTACTTACATTCTAGGTGTATTATTAATTTTAAGTCTTACAATTTAACGCAAACATGCATAATTAACGTGATTGTCAATAACATTGGATTAATAGTGATCTGTTAACTTTAAAGACTTATTTATTAGGAACGTCTGAATAAATTCCAAGACTATCAAAAGAATATTGCTTTAAATTATTAAGCGCATACTCTTGCTTGGCGCCTGCGAATGCAGCTACGCTTTACACAAACGCTTTCCCACGCATTAGCTAGATTTTAGCTGCGTATGCAATTATTGAAAGATAAAATTGCTGGGGTTTCCGAGCTTTTTAGAACATAGCAAATCCGGATTTATTGAAGATAACTAAAAATTTTAGCCGCTTATTATTTAGTAAAAGCACATTTAAGAGAAGAGAAAAAAAAGAAAAAGGATTTAGGAATATTATAAATGTCTCGCTGATATTTTGGTTTATGACTATTGAGTTGAATTATTTAATTTTTCTAAGTTTGTTAGACTAGTAGGTTGCATATTTTGATCATATTTATGAAATTTACATGGTTTGTGTTAAAAAGAATGGTTTTATAATTGTGTGACATAACGTTAACAGCTTAAATTTTTGTTTTGTATATTTGTTTGAAAACGCCTTCTTGCAAGAACATGTATAACCGAGTAATATGGAAGCTTAATTAGCGTTGGGGGTTGTTTTTTGTTGTTTTGTTGTTATTTTTGTCAAATCTCAAGAAAATAAATGTTCATATTATTGCCTCCATTACGAAAACGAAAGGATCTATGTGCCATTCTCTGAAAATGTCGTACTTTTTTTCTTTCGCAATTATTTAGCGCACGGGTAAAATTTGGCATCATGACCAGGTAAGTGTTAAAACCATTTGCTCAATAGTTTCTGCCGTTTTCTTTTTCTCATTTTGATTTGTTCTTATGAGGAGGCTGTGGAGGACTTGGTTATCTTGCCTAATGACTGTCGAACTAGCGTTCCTTCTTATATAGAAATTACCCAGCCCCCTAATTTGCATTATTTAGTCTAAATTTATCACACTCTTGCAAGAAGGTAAGATTGAAACACGGACTACCACTTGCGTCAATGTTTCGTCCCATTGAAACAATAAAAGCGTCATCCATGCAAAGTTTTTCTGCGGTGTTATGCCTCATTTCGATATTACTTACGTTTCTTGCAACCCACATTTGTTACCCAAATCAATTTATGACAAGACAAAGAGCTTAGTCATTGGCACCTGACCTCATGTATTTTTGTATCAGAAACTATACGAATCCATACTAAATAATAACTACACTCCCCACAAAAGTTTTCAACAGGCCTTGAAATTTATAGTAAACCATATAAAAAATCTTTTTATTATTATATGTAGTCTGCATATGTAAGTAGCAACTACTTATGTATCATTATGAAGCAGCACTTTTCGAACAATTAAAATGTATTATCAGTACAAATATTATGTTTTCGTATACACTAACACTTCATCAAACTACAACTATACAACAATTTAGACAAATAGACCAAGGAGATAATCCCATTTCCATGGCTGATGGATATCATTCCGAACGATCTTATTCTTTAGCCTGGTATTTGGAGGTAATGGTGATACCAGTGTAGATCGTAAATGTCCTTTGCGATTATCAGTGATTCGTTAGACAATCAAGGAGAAGGGTTGTTTAGGACAATGACTGAGTGGCATCAACCGCGCGTCTAGATTTCCACAACTTCGGTAGTAGGAGTTGTTTCATATTCAGACATTTATAAATAAACTTGATATACAGGGATTGGGGTCTAATAAGTGAGTTAATGACGAGTCTGTAACCATATGGGATAAATGTTTAGATAAACTAGAACCTTAATTAGTAACTGATCGAATATTGTAATACTGCCCCTTGTCTGTATGTACAACTTACGCTAATTGCGCAATCAGTAAATTGACGAATATATTACCTTCATACCCTTTTCTCTTATTCAATGCGCTCAACCATGCATGCTAATCTTGTACAACCAACAAATATGTCATTAATGGACGCAGTGTATCTATTCGTTAAGACGATTGGATGTCCCAATGCAGAACAAAGGTGGACATTCAGCTAACTATACGTAGTACCGATCGAAGCATAACAAAGCTTACTAGGTATTCGGGTTGGGTTCAGTTTGATATTCAATTCTCAACAATTTCCACTCCTCTGAAAATATTACAGAGCCATGATGTGTTTCGACTTGATTAAGCAACTTTATGAGATAAATAACTTGGCTTTCATAATTGCAAGTAACCTCCTTTGTTGCATGACCCTTTTGTTTGCTCTTCATATCTAGCAGCAATTTCTTTCTTTCTTGGACAGGTACTGTATTTGCAATTAAATATAGAGGTTTTATTTCGTAGTGCTATCATATTAATATACAGACGATAGAATTTTAAACGGCTGGCCGACGATGCCTCTGCCGCTTTAACTTTTTTCAATTTCATGCTTTAATCCGCTTCTGTCATTCGGTCGCTTTTTCCGCAAAAGAAAGAAAGAAGCAAGGTTAGTTATAGAACTTAAATCATTATCCTGATTACTATCCGCATACTCATTATTCAATCTAATCATACTACCCGATTTTAATCAACGTCCTAATACTAACTCACGTTTGCATAATTTGTCTAATCTTCCCATATTTCCCCATCGCTTGCTCTACGGTGTCTCTTTACTCATCCACAGATTCTCTTCCGACACTTGGCGGATTATGGGAGTAGCCATAATATGGTCAATTGGTCACAATTTTTACTGACTATAAATAATATAGATCCTCTGGAAAGGACAGGTTGGGGATTAGGACTATTCATGAGATAATTCATCGTCCTTTTCCTTGGGAGGTGCAGGATTTCGAACGGCAGAAAGACTTCAGACCCCTTAGAGATGATCGTAAACAAATTACAAGGGTAGATGGAAACGAGCTAAATTGTCGAACACACTAATATGACACGTTTCGCAAGAAATATATTAAATTACTTAGGGGGACATTTAGCAGTAAGCTGACCATCAAGTCACCCAGAGTTTTATAAAACAATAGGATTCACGTCTCTCACACTCCTTCACTCACTATTTGTTATACATACCATTTGAAATCAAAACATGCATCTATTTAACTAGAATTATCAACCTTATCCAAAAATATCGGATTACTTTCACGATGCGATAAATCCCAATATTCCAACGGCTTTAATTTCATCAGATACATAAGATCTGCTATTTCAAAAATAATCTTGTTTTGCATATGGATCTTCTGTTTTTCCTGTCGTGCCGACGGTCACAGAGGAGAGCGGATAACTATCGACACTTAGGATTTAACTTTTTTTCAACGGAGGTGTGGCTACTCCTACTCGCTAAGTTAAATATAACGACAGTTTGTGACCTATTACGTAGGCTTTACCTATTCACGAGTCTCTAATAGTCGTAGACGTCAAATACGTCGCTCCTCGAGTAAGTCTACTATTATCCACCGATGGGATTAGTTTCGATGGTCTAGTTCTGGGGTAGTTGTATAATGCTCAATGCATTGCTAATGAACGAATAATTATTGTAATTGCCACGGGAGTAATCACAGGGCCAGAGATCGATAATCAATAATGTATTCCAGAGTATAAAGAACTATTATTAACATGATCGAACATGGTTATTTCTATCGGACAGTTGCACTTTCTATATCTTCTGAGACCAATATTGCCTAAATCTAGCTATGTGTACTATGTGCCAAATAAATCTAAAAACTAATTATTATACTACCGCTATTAATATTGCGGCGTTGCCAGATTGCACCACCCTAATTATCGTTTTCTGGCACCTACTTAGTGTGTAAACTTGCTGTGCCGATCCCGAAATGTACGCAGAAATTGGGGTTATTATTAACATTAGTCCTCACACAATATTTAAATTATGATACAAAAATATAAGATTATATGCAGTATGTAGAACACGTATACTACCCTCACATACAGGCAAAACTAAAAAAAGATCTTGATGTATTTATAGATATTATTTTGACTACAATCTGTTTTATCTAGGACGCAATATAAATAAAAATGAGAAGCAGGTTATCAAATTATTTAAAAGCCACCCTTAAAGATAATGCACTTAATAATTATAAATATGCAATGAATAAATCAAAGAAATTGGGTCAAATCCATTCAGTACAATTGATAATCAAAATGTAATACTTCACAAATGATCAAGCATTTTCTAGAAAAGCAACTTCATATCCCTTGCTCAAATATACTGTATTTCGCGGATGCTCATTTATTAGTTTATTATATCATATTAGGATATCAGCACCATATATTAATATGGATATAATACAGACAGAATGAACAGGATCTTTGTACCAATAATAAAAGATATCGCAACAAAATATAATAAATGACTAATAGCTTGCAATACATGTGCGAATGTTTTTATATTATGCCCGATAAAAAAAATCAATAGGAATTTATTAGGAATCCGGGAAAAAATTCCGGAGCCCCTTCGGAATGCTTGGTTATTGGCTTAAAATCTTTTCAAAGGGACAATTTCCTCGGAATTCAATATTAAAATTTGTTAGGAAAATAACAAATTTTCAATACTGACAATAACTTGATCTATAGCGGACGACACAAAATCCGCAGTAGGCTTTAAGTCTAAGCTGGGCACCGTAACCCTCACAATACCAGAGAGACTCAGAAGAAAGCCCTTGACCTAATAAATAATAAAAACAATAATAAGTTATGAAATCAAGAAGAGAAGAATTCTATTATTTATTTACCTAATTCTTTACCACAATAACTTCCACTATAAAATTTATTGCACATCCAGGCAGAAGAATTGGAAACCAAAAATAATAAGAAAACCAAGAAAAGACGAATAAAATAACCCATAATTGAGAAATAGATATTTGAGGATTGGGGTTTACTATAACATATCAAATATATACTACTCTTTATAATGTTTTCCTGAGAAAAAATAAAAGACACGTATCATGAAGTGCTAACCAAATTGGAGTTATTTGTTTTCATCAGAAGGTCATGCGAATGCAGAAATTTTTCACAAAGAAAAGACACGCTAACCAAATTAGAGTTATTTGTTTTCATTAGAAGGTCATGCGATTATATTACACCTAGAAGAGCGGCAGCCTTGGGATTTAGTCCTTTTCTGACGGAAGTTTTTGCTTCCTACTTCAGAATTTATACTCACGATCTGTATTATCGGTCTCGTATACGCTGTCCCTAGATTATTATTTAACCTCGAAGTACTATATTAGATATATTAATATAATTTTTTTTGTGAAGGGTTGGTAATAGTGGTACTCAAATATAGTAGTGTAATGAGCAATTTGTATTTAAACTATTTATTTATTTATTTGAAGCTAATTTTATTATTAAATGCCATTTACTACACTATTACTATCACTATAGAATTTAATATGTAAATGGATGGAACGATGTTGATTATCTTCTTATTTGTGATATTCTTTGATTACTTCAGGAAAGCATCTCTTTGTAAACTCATGATTTGGACATTTTCCCATTTACGGCACTTACTTAAAGCAACATATGCTTGATCGACTGAGAATATACTAGAGTCAGGTGCTAGAGAAACACAAGGTAGGGTAATGCCCTGCGTTTTATGCATAGACGTGTGTTGGAAGAGAATAGTCTTTTGGAAGCGTGTGTGAAGACTGCGTAAGCGTTGAGATGGTTTCCGTGGAGGAAATGTAGTGACCGATGGGTATGTGGTTGGATCGGATTGATTAGTAGATAGGTCGTTGATATATTGCAAGGCGTACGAAAAATTAGCAACTGGGGTTGGCATTTGCCATTATTTGGGAAAGCGTGTTTGTACGTTCCGGTACGTAATATAGTTGAAATCGTGTCGAGACATATTGAAGATTGTTAGTGAATTAGCTTTTGGGTCGAGAGAGTTAATATATAAAAATTGGCGTATCTTGGCGCGTATCCGGGTGATTGTAATTTGATAGTGTCATTTAGCCATAGTGGTCAAATGATTACGTTCTGTGATTAACTGGAGTAATGTTCTATATGTCATCATAGGCAAAATTGAAATTAACCAACGTTTTGCGATGAGGTTAAAAACGCGTCAAATAATTGGCTGCTAGTTTAATTTTCAATTTTCTCCTAACAATGGTAAATGAGAACGATGACATTTAACTGGAAATAAATTCTACTTGCATTGTTACTTTTTGGAGAACTGCTGACGTCAACATTGTTCACAACGTTGAAAAAGGTAGCCTTTTTGCGAAAGCTACAAGTAGTAGTATTGCGTGTGTACCGTAATATGAGAATATTATGTGTGTAACATAAAAGGTATTAAAAATCATACTTGTGCGTAACATGGGAAGCGTGGCGTATACTGTATGTGCATCGTAGGAAGAGACTATAATACACGAAGATAACTTCTTTAATAATTTGAGTAGAACTATATAAGGCTCCCGCAGCCATAATACGCACTTTATTAGAATCAATAGGCTAAAACGGCCAAAGCTACAGAAGTTTAGTTAAATAGCGGCAGCCAAAAATTATTCCCCTCCAGCAATCACATCTGCCGTCAAAGAGTATGTAACATTAAATTTAGGCCTTGGTGAATTATACGCGAACTGAAGTGTAAAGAAACGACAAACATAAAACGTAAAATATTAATTAATCTTCCTCAAAACTTGTTCATGCCCGAAAAAGGGTGTTCTTACACAATTACCAAAAATGGAAATGTTATGATATGCATAGACAAAAAAGGCAGCTATTTTATTCGTTCTTCAGTTAATTTTCCGTGTCAGAAACAGATATTGATATATTGATAATAAATGATGAGTTGAAACAAAGGATTAATCCACGGAACATTAAATAAACGATTTTTTGAAATCAAATTATTATTAATTAACCGGGTATGCCTATAAAAGCGGCTCACATAAAAGCTGTAAGATTTTCGGTTGATCAATTACGCGAATATCAGAACGAGAGTATATAATTAATATTGTAAACGATTATTGTTTAATTAGTTTTAGAATAGGCAAGCGACGTTTACCCGACTGCTCGACATACCAAATCGAAGATTCGCCCTGAATAATTAATTCCCCTTCGATTCTGTGGTATGTAATTGTTATTATTATTATATCATAGGTACCCTTATTTGGATGGGAGTGAAGAACGCGCACGTTAAATAATTAAATTAGGTCACTTGTAATTTTAGATTCAGTTGCAAAAGCAATCACCGATGAGCTGAAGCTAAATTAGAACATCCCCCCCCGACTGACAGAACTTAGTATAATAATAATTGTAGATGGTATCATAATAATAACACAATTTATTTTACATCGCCATATCCCGACATAAGACATACCCAAATCTAATTATGTTTCATTCTTAGAATCGTATTCTGAAAAATTCAATTCCAAATAATCCTCAAGCATCTTTTTCACCCAATGAACCTCACAATGTAAACTAGTGCACTCTCTTTGTTTTTGCTTGTGTTGGGGTGTAAATGATAGGATACTTGCATTGCCATTCAATGTGGTTTGATTCACGCCTTATTTGTGACTTTTCAAGCTTGACCAGATGTGCAATGGTTCCCTCAACATTCTTTTTGAATGTCAAAAGAGCATTAAGCACAGATTGTAGATTATGTAGGTCATATTTTGATGATGGTTTCCTCACAGTGTTAATAAGAACAAGATGAAATAACCTCTTGTAGGGGACAAGAGCATAGAATTTTAGTTCAAACCCTATATAGAAATATATTTGGTTAGAGTTCCTTATAATAAACTTATCTGTTAACAAACCTTACCAATGTCCTGGAGACCCCAGAAAACCACAGCAGAAGTATCAACACCTTGAAACTTGCTACTTATGTAGAACCATATATCTCGCAGTTCCCATGAAACTTTCATCTTGTCTCGCCATTCTTTGGCCGCAGAGCACTTTGGGACTCCTCCAGAAACTTCACCAACAGCAACTTCTGCCCCTCCAAATAAACCTGAGAAGTTTATACGTATATCTGTTCTGTAGTCCATTCTTGCACGGAGTTGAGGATCTCTGGTTTGATTTCTTCGATAAGCTGATGAAGCCAAACACCACTCACCACTGAGGAAAGTTATCTATTTAGTTATCAATCAATACACACTAAGCTGTTTTCACACATCATCATGTGGTGTTTATTGAGCCCCCAATTGGACACTCAATAGATATGTAAGTTACAGATCTATACCAAAGACATTACAAAGCCACTTTACATATACCGACCAGGAGGCGACAGTGTGAAAACAGCCACTAATACAACACTAATATTATATTGGACATATTAGATAACTCACTAGGAGATGACAAGATCAGGGTTAGTTTCTACTGTGGCATCAAGCAGTGGCATGAGTGTACGGCTTGTATATTCTGTCTCTGACATACCCCGACTTGCATTACGCCTTATATATTTAAGACTGAAAAATAAAGATGGGTTGTGAATTATGTCTTAGGCAAGTGATATTGCAAACAAAAATCATTCAGCAAACTTACATAGATATGAAGCACTCCTTGATTATTCGCTCTTTATTATCAGTTGGACAAACAGTATCATAATTATCAGACTATAGGAAGAAAAAGTTACCAATAAAGTAATAACCAAAAAAACTGCAAAAAAAAAAGTTTTATGTAATAGTAAATAATACCTCTATAATGCGGCAAAGAAATCTTGCTTCATCCTCATCTAATTCCTGGGTTTCCATTACAATCTTAGTCCTTATTTCTGATTGCATGTCCTGGAGATAGTCCTTTAGAAGAGAATTTGTAGGAGTATGTTGGCCAGTATGGTCGATAATATAGTACCAGAGGGGACTGTTGGATTTATGACAAGCATCAGAACAATCCAATAAGTATTACTGATTAGATTGCAATCACATAACTTACTGATACATCTGTTTGCATTTTGGAATGGATTTTCGTGCAGTCTCCACCATGGTCATTACATTCTCCCAATCAATATTTGTCGACAGAGTTGAGTGTAATGGGAGAGGTTGCTCTTTCTCTAAATCCTCATCAATACACTTATCATTGTCATAATAATCACTATCATCATCTTCCCAACCAATGTCTGTTGAAGTTAAACATAATAATAATAGCAAAAAAGATTGCCTAGATTCCTAATATTATTAATATACTTGATCATCATAATTAGCATAATTACCATCATAATCATCACTATCACTCTTTTCTGAATCCGTTTTGATGCTTTCAGGTTGAGGTTCTGAATCTGTTTCAATGCTCTCTGATTGAGGTTCTGATTCTGTTAAACTATCATTCTTTTCTGAATCTGTTTCAATGCTTTCTGATGGAGGTTCTGATTCTGTTGTGATTGGACGATGGTCTGGGACAGGTGAGCAATTTTAGGGAATTAAAATAAATTTAAAATTGATAAATAGTAAAAAAACTTTTACTAACTACCTGGACGTGGTGAGTCATTAAGCATTTGGCGAGCCCGTTTGTTTATGCATTCACCATATATATTATGCTCCTCGTAAACGCGCTTGAATGTCGATGCTCTATGGATAAGCTACAATAACAGGTATGAATAGCAAGCCAATAGTACATAATGTTCTTGGTATGCAAAAAAGTGTAAACTATGTTACATTGTCATACTGCATTTCTGCTTCTACCGTTTTCTCCCGGACAGTCTGCCAGTAATGGTCTGATTCCAAGTCATTGAGCATGAGCTTTTTGAGACAAAACTTCAGTTCGAGGAACTTATATTTAATCATACTCAAAGGTGAAAATACTTACAGATAACCGTCCAATAAGCTCTATGGCATTAGCTTTTACCCTACGGTCATTATAATTTACAAAATGACACACCATGATGGCATACTCTCGTTCAGCCTCTGCCTTCTGTGCATAGGAATATTTAAATTTTTCGTAGAATTGTGCAGGATGGAGCTGGCTGTTCTTTTGTGAAAGAAACCAATTGATCTGTTCTTGAGTTGCCATGGACGCGTGCTAAGAATTTGCAGCGCGTTTGTATAATAATAATAACTAAGGTAGGCTAAACGGAGCAATTTCATTGGTTGTAAAAAATGTACGGGCATGTGATATACTTAAGATCACCAGCCAGTCATCAGCTGCGTTTACATCCATCCGCGACCCCAATGACCTTCTACTACGTACACTTAGCATCTTTCGGGACGTATAACTCTTTATCTCACAACAGGTTTTGTTCCAATATTAAGTTTTTTTCGCAGGTTGTGTGGCAGAGAGATCAACAGCTCTTTGTGCTGGATGGTGCTGAGACAGGATTGCCGGACGCGTTGGTCGGCACAGTGGCTGTGGTCTGAGACAACTCTGGGCCCTGTCTTCACCACCACACAACCTTTCAGGTTGGATGATACACGGCATAGGATATTACTGGAAGCGTTGGTCGGCATATGTACAGCAGCAGTACCTGTGGTCTGAGACATCCAGAGTTCTATATCCGCACATCTTGCCTGAATTTATTGTAACCATCCTTTTACTTTGCATAATCGTTGAGAATACAGGCAGTTTGTGTGGCAGAGAGATCAACAACTCTTTGTGCCGGATGGTGCAGAGACAGGATTGCCGGACGCGTTGGTCGGCACATTGTCTGTGGTCTGAGACAACTCTGGGCCCTGTTTCCATCACCACACAACTGTTCTTTCTTGGTGGTGGTGCTGCAGATAGGATTGCTGGAGGCATTAGTTCACAACATACACCGGTATTTGTGTTCTGAGACTTCACGTTCTATTTCCATCCATCTCTTTTTGTTGCATTGATAGTTGTATGATAGCATGACTGCCTACTTTTTGTATTGTAAATACCCTTTCTTATATTGTAAACTTACATTTTTTTTATTGCATTTTATTTTATGCATACATACTAATATTAATATTAAACTGCTACTAGTTTTACAGTAACGTGCAAAAGTATCCTACCGGTTGTATCATCTAAACGTACATAATAATAACTCCTTAAATTTTCCAGGA